CTCGACAAAGGACTCGGATACACCGTGGCCATTAAGAATGCGTTTTAATGCAGTGCGGCCGGGCTCGGTGCGTCGCCTATGAAATACGGAAAAACGCGCGTTAAAAAGCAAGAGTCCCCCGACGCAAATCAAATCCGCATCGGTCAGGGCTCGGGACGATCGATCGATCTGCAACGTCACCGGCGGCGGGCACAACGCTCGAAAACGTTCGGCTGTTCGACCACCGACCGATGAAACGTTCCTCGCTGGACGACATATGGAGGATCCCTAACGAGCGGCACGTTTTTCCCCAAAAAATCGTATCGCGTTCCGCCCAACACGCGTTTCACAGCCTGTTTTTCCAAGCTATTATTAATGATCGGCCCTTTCGAAGGACTATGCCGAATTCAGATAAGTAAATAGTCCGACGACGCCCACGAAAGCCATTCGAAAGTCAATTTGGCTGCGGCCAGTTACCGCGGCTTCCTCGTTTAAAAAAAGAAACAATCAACCAATCAGCTGACCAACAAAATGTCATTGTTTTCGCGTACAGCTTAGACAAGGATTTTTAAGCGTTGAATTCAAAGTTCAAAGAACGATCTATCCTTTTCCCCAATCGCATCTACGATAAAACCAGCCTTTCGAGCTTCAAAATTTATTTATAGAATATCTTGATAGTTTAACAACATAAATACTCGTAGAGTAATGCGTACGATGTCCATGTTACAGGAAACAGTGCTCGAAAATCGAAACCGTGCAACATAAATTTTGCTATATTTGCTAAATATGCTCACTCAAAACTTGGACAATGAAAACAATGCCTTGTTACAACCATAATTATCTCCTGATATCTGCTTACGTGAATATTCGGTCTCTCGAATGTCACCGTATAGATATATGTATTATTAAAAGGAACTATTGCTCCCTCTAATATATATATTACTAAATTATTAAATTAAATTAAATTAAATTTTATATTCAAATTTATATTATTATGTTTCCTCTGATTTATCATAAAACGGATCTATTTCTTCCTCTCATATATTATATGTATATTGTTTAAACCTTATTTATCTTAAAATATAAAGGGCTTAATAAATAAACGAATAAATAAATAAAAAGCACCTCTTGCAGCGACAGGAAAATGAAGACAAATGCAATTGCGCGAAGCGTAGGACAGCCCACTCGAGAGAATTCCGGTGCTTCTGTTTTGATACGAGGGAATTTAAAAGGGTGAAAGTGACTCGTGGCAGGGGGCAGATTCTAAAGCCCCGCCCGTGAAAGAGTCACCTGTTGCATGCAGGGAGGTTTTAATATTTTTTTTTACGCTCGCGATCGATCTCGTGTTACAACCCGCTTGCACAATAGGCATCAACCTGTTGAGAGAAGGGGAGTTTTTTTGGCCGTATTAGGCTCGGTGCGCGATAGGGGAAGGGTGTGTGTGCAGTCATTTCTTTTTTTTTTCCATCGAGTTTTTACCTCCGACAAAAAACCACCCTACATCGGATCGCCGCGGCACAAGTGCAGCTACCTGCGGTCGCGTCAGGAGCTGGGGGGAGATCATCGATGACATCGTCGGACCGGGTTTCGAATGAAATTAATAGTAGATAAAAGCTTATTCCGTTAAAAAAAAAATTATTCCAAATCGTCATTTGCACGTATCGTTCTATTCTCTTTTTACTGCTTCGCAAAAAATATTTAAACATTTTTTTGAATTCTATGACCAGACTCGAGAGCTACATTTTACTGCAAAAGTCCGACCTCGCACCTCGCGATTGCCGCCCCTTTCTACATTCACAAAAATGAGCCGTTTAATGGGACATCCTGAAAGTTTTGTCGTTTTTACAAGGACAGGGTCGAGGATGTAACAACAATAATTGCTCGCTGCAAGAAAAATTGTTGAGAAAGTTTCTGAAAAAAGCAGGGAAGGATTTGTCTTTATGCAAGAAGCAAGCAGTAATTTTATTCCTCTTCATCTTTTTTTCGCAGCCGGTTTGATCTTCGCGTCCTTCGCTCCGAGTTGCCTACGTTGGCTGGAAACGAGCCGTTTTTGTCGTCGCTCCTCGCGTTTCTCCGTAAACTAAAAAACATCCAGGATAAGCGAAGATTCTCTTGTCGCAGCTCGGATACTATCGTCTTCGCGTTAATCGCAAAAAGCACGCGAGTTTTTACTTCGGACCAGCTCCGAGGTATTCGGATTATCCGTGGTTCTTGCTCGCGTCTCGCGCTACGGCAACCCTTTCACGGACACTTAAAAAACTGCGGGCACAGACAATCCAGGCCCCTGAACGCTCTTCTTTGCTGAAAGGATGCAGGAAGAAAAGGTTGAAAAAGCCCAGGTACCCGTCGCTAATCTCTCTGCTGTCCACGCTGCAGCGTTTTTATCGAACGTGCACCGCGGGGAATCGTTTCCTGTTTACGGGCCCAATAGACGCGTATTTAGAGGGAACTGCTGAAAAGAAAACTCCGAAAAAAGGAACAGGCGTCTTACGTTTGCAGCAATCTTCATGTTCGTGGTCAACTGTTTGTTCAATCGTGCCGTATTCCGTATGCAAAGTCGACTAACTAATCAATGTCATTGACTAACTAAGTCAATGCCGAGAAAATTCTTTTTTTTTACTCTCTAGAAAATTCTTTTCCCCCCCGCCGTACCACGACCGGATTATTTCGAACCCAGAGCTCGAGGCCTGGCTTAACCGACGATAACAAACTTTGAGTAATCGACCAAAATAATATTTTTTTTAGAATACTATTTTACGCATAAACTATTTTATGTGCCACGACAATTGTTGCACGAATCTTTTACCTACTTCGCCAAAATTAATCGGTCACGATGGTTTTGTTGCGCGTTAAGGAAAATCCAAGCTGACAATAAAATATGGAAAGCAGTTAAAATGTTACGATCGACTCCGATCCCCGATTATAATACATCATGGCATTCTTTATCTACCCCAATAACGTTGGACTCTATTTTTCATTAAATTTGTATGCGCTACAAGGTTACTAGCCATCTCCGTATACTTTTACATCCATGGATTCTTTATTCATTTTTCTAATTTTTGCACGAGCTAATTCTAATTTTTCCAACAATTTCAAATTTATCAGTTAACCCAACAAATATAAGTATATATCATTATTATTATCTTATATTTAAATAATAAGGTGAAGAAAATTAGCCGTAGAAATCTCTTACAATCGTCCCCGACCACGCCTTCAAGCTTTAATTATAAATTATTATTTACAGCATGCTTGTTGACGCGAAGTAATTATCGATATTTCTTTAGGACATATGAAACTAGAGATTCGATGCACATGAAGGAAGAATATATTTACTAAAAAAGCACTTGTATCACAATTTTGAAGCAATAAGGAAGGTTAACTTTTTCAGGTATCGAAAGTTATTTTCTTCCTTATGCAGATGTATATTTCGTATTTACCTAAATATGGTAGATGAGTCTGTTCCAAATGTCATCTTACATTATATATCTCTGAACTATGCGATAATATCTATCACATATTTTGAGAGAAATATTTAACGTGCTACAACCGTCCCCGTGTTTCAACCGTCATCGGTCTCCCCTACTCTTGTATTGTTCAATATTATATGATCTATAGAACTCTTCTTAAAAATCTAAAAAAAGTACGATAAGATAATAGTGATAATAATAGTAATAATAATAATAATAATAATAATAATAATAATAATAATAATAACAATAAACAAAATTTTAGTTCAAAATGTTTGGATCCAATCATAAATTTTCGCATGAACACCCAACCGCCGGTACTGCAAGGGTTAATATGCAATCTTCGTCGGCTGGAGACTGTCGTGAGCACTGCCCACTGCCTCTAGAGCATTTGCAATTGTATTTGAGAACGTGTGATCGTAGAAAGGCTATGGACCGGAGCAAGAGAAAGAAACAGACGCAGCCAACGGTTGGAATGATCGACCGCGTACGGAAGAAACCATAAAAATAGCCGTGGAGCGTGCAGCAGCCGATGGGGGCCCTTTCCGGATAACTCGTAGCCACCCTCGCAAACTGCTGCCCTTTTCCTTTTCCATCAGGAGCGATCCCACCCCTTGCCAAATCAGAAATCTGCCGCTTCCATCTCGTTCGAGCAGCAATGGCTGATGGTCGAGCCGAGCCGAGCCGAGTCGAGTCGGGCCATCGTAGAAAAGGGCATACGCACCGGGCAACATTATGCTCTCCTCCCGAACCCGATCGATCAGTCCGACTGCGAAACGCAACGGAAATAACGATGAGTAACAATAACGCCGAGTCCACCAAAATACTTGTGACAACGGAGGAATTAGAATTTGGTGGAGACAGGGTAACGCTACTCGATATGATCGAACAGCAACGAGAGACATGGTACAGTAGATTTTTATAAGTTACAGTGTCGAACAGTACTATACCTCTATTTTCTTCTTTATTATCGCTTCCACTAATATACGGTTGTCGAGGAGCTAAAAGAATGTTTTAAGGGTACAGAATTGTTCACGAGAATTCTTTGCATCCGTATTACGCTGTAGAAGTCTACTTACTGTTATAAATATAAAAAATACACTGAATATTATATGTTATTGCTAGAAATCGTTCCTTCGGTAAGGGAAGTGTGAGAAATAACATAAAATTTGACAATGAAAACAGTATTCTAGGGATATCAATATGTTCATCAGAATTACCGCGTCCACTTCGTGCAAACAAAATGTACTTAATGGCACGAAGCATCTGTTCCAGAAAATGTTGACGTAGTGGCAAAATGCTTTAACTGTGGGAAACGTGACCGGTCGGTAATTATCCGTTGCCTAAAAGCGAGAGTTTTGCCACTAAGCGCTGTGCAGACCTTCGAACGAAGCTTCGAGATTTTGCCGCAAGAGGCACCACTTCCCGTACAACTTCCTTACTGAATTGATCACGTTGCCTAACAGTTCGAGCATTTTGCCACCACGCCTGTTGGCGCTGTACGAACCCCGAGCGAAACTTCAGAATTTCACCGCGAGAGGCGCCTCTTTTCTTACATTTTCACAAGAACAGATAATTCGTGCTGAATTTAACATCGTATCCTATATTGGAATCGGTACGAATCATACATTATCGATATTTGCACAAATAGATTTTTATAGCGTAAATATAAATACAGAAAAATATAGGTAGATACGCCGGATCATTAAAGACAGATTGAGACTGAAAATGTTGAATTAGAGCTGTTAGTATTCGTGACAAAATTGTCAGGATATTAGTCACGTGTTATTGTGATGTGCATTCTTATTTACTTATGGTAGATAACTGTGATATGCGCCTATAAAATTGACGGATTATAAAATAACATTGTCAAATGTGCACAAATCGAAAAATGTGAAATTTTACGATTTAATTGGGTGGAATATGAGATATTATCATAGACTGAAATAAATAAGGTAACATAACCTCCATATACATTTATATGTTAACACTATATAATTCATTCTTTCTACAAGCAGTTATATTATCAATAATACAATTTTGAAATGTTGCAGATAAACTATAAACATGAGTACAAAAAAGATTATAACGTTTGGAAAAATCAGTAAGGATTTAAATCTGCAACAAGCTTCGGAGAGCAGAGAAAATGTAAGTTCCGGTTTTGGTACGTTCGGTAAGAAATTACCAGAAACCAATGTAATCAAGATGAATGAAATTAAACCAGAGGACGAGGAGGAAACCCATAACTTGAAACAAGTTATGGGTATAACCGGTTTTGGGAAAAAAGCCAAGTCGTTCGATGTACAAGAAATGTTAGAGAATATATCAAAAACTATTAACAGCAACAAACCAGCCGACAATGACAAAGAGAAGAAAAGCACAGAAGCTGCGGTTACATCCTCGAAGGAAGAATCTAAGAAAGATAACAAGGATAAAGAAGACAGCGACGAGGAGGACGACGATTTGGTTGGACCTCCGGTCCCCTCCGATCTTCAAAACAGCTTAGTTTCGGAGAAAACGTCGAAGCAAAATGAGAGCGAGGACGAGAACGACGAAGACGACGAAGAAGAATCTGACAGCGATGAAACGCACTTAAGAGATAAAGTTCCATGCAGCCACGAAGTCACAATGACGCACGGCACAAAAGCAGTGACTGCCATTGCAGCAGATCCCTCCGGAGCAAGATTAGCATCCGGTTCGATCGATTACGATGTTTGTTTTTGGGATTTTGCTGGCATGGATTCCTCTATGCGGAGCTTCAGAACCCTGCAACCTTGCGAGAATCATCCTATCAAATGTTTACAGTATTCCATGACCGGCGACGTTATATTGGTAATATCGGGGTCTGCGCAGGCAAAAGTTTTGGATCGGGATGGATTCGAGAAGTGCGAAACGGTAAAAGGCGACCAGTACATCACGGATATGGCGCGTACGAAAGGCCACACGGCGGGATTAAACTGCGGCTGTTGGCATCCCTTCACGAAGGAAGAATACATGACCTGTTCTCAGGATAGCACCTGCAGGATATGGATATTGTACAGGCCACGTGCTCACAAGTACCTAATCAAATGCAGGGCCCAAAACGGAGTGAAGACTATACCAACTACGTGCGGCTACAGCCGCGAAGGCACAGTGGTCGCTTGCGGTTGCGTGGACGGCTCTATACAGATGTGGGATCATAGGAAAAATTTCGTGAATCCGTCGTTGATCCAAAGGGACGCCCACGCGCAGGGTTCCGAGATATCGAGCTTGAGTTTCTCGTATCTCGGGCACATGCTGGCGACCAGGAGCTGCGACGACACGCTCAAGCTCTGGGACTTGAGGGTGTTCAAGTCTCCTGTTTTCGAAGCCCGGAACCTGTACTCTCGATACGACACGACCGACTGTATGTTCAATCCGGACGACTCGATCGTGATCACTGGAGAGTCCTTGAACAGGGGCCAGAACACCGGACGAGTACTGTTCTACGACACAAAAACGTTCGACCTGGTGAACGAGATAAGCGTGACGAACTCGCACGTGATCAAAACGTTGTGGCATCCGAAGTTGAATCAGGTATTCGTTGGCTGCGGAAACGGAATAGTCAAAGTGTACTACGACTCGAAGAAGAGTTTGAGGGGCGCGAAGCTGTGCGTGGTGAAGACGCACATGAAACAGAAGCACATCGAGGTGATGTCCACTCAGCAAATCATAACGCCGCACGCTCTGCCGCTGTTCAGACAGGACAGACCGAAGTCCGTGCGCAAGCAGATGGAGAAGGATCGGTTGGATCCGGTCAAGTCGCGCAGGCCAGACTTGCCGATCACTTCCGGCCAGGGAGGAAGGGTCGCCTCCTCCGGAGGAACGCTCAGCTCGTACGTGATTCGAAACTTGGGCCTGAGCAAGAGGATAGAGGACGACCAGGACCCGCGAGAAGCGATCCTCAAATTCGCCAAAGTGGCCGAGGAAAATCCATACTGGATAGCGCCGGCCTACCAGAAGACGCAACCGAGAACGATCTTCCAACCCGAAGAGGCAGGCGGCCAGGATGGACCGTCTGGCGCGAAGAAATCGAAGACTTGAAGCGTTCAGTCGACTCGCTGTACCGGACGTTAGGGTAAAATAGCTTTTAATGGACTGTATCGATACGATTTTCTGTTAGAAATAGATGTAATATACGTCATTACCCTGTAATACGTGACGAGTATGACGTGGACACGAGCATTACCATGCACGACGTGTATTCGGTTTAATCGAGGAATTAAACAGACGTTATATTTAAGTATACTTTTCCCTCGATGATTCATTTATACTTTTCTTTTCGATCCAGCGATAATTCGGTTTCCGTACGTTGACTGCGAAACGGGGGAAGAGGACCGAATAATTTCGGAAGCTGCTGCTCGATCCTGTTCGAATCGCGGATCGGTGGCGACGGGATAAACGTAGATCGGCGCGGAGAAGAGCGCGGTATGGCGAAGCGAAACGTATCTGTTGGTAGGACGAGGAGGAAATCGAGGACCCGAATCTAAATAAATCGATCAGTAAATAGATCGAGCCTGCTTCCTGCTGTTTTCCGATTGGGTAGCAAGGGGAGCATCGGAGGAGGGTTGCTGGGGGGAGAAGGGGCCGTGTATTTGTGGCGTTCGAGACGGCAGTCGCGATCGCCTTCTGGCAAACTTTATCGTGACACCGTTTCGTGCGTGTTCGAGAGTCGGCCGGTTCGTACGATCGGGTTCGTTTCCGCCGTAACCGATCCGGCTCGGTTTCGCGACCGATGAATCTGGTGATACAGTAATTTTCCTCGGTGTGCGATTACCCTGTGCGTCGTGGTGCATCGTTCCCCGCGACGGTCCCTCGCGCGATACTTACTGGCAAGTAATCAGAAGTAACCGATAGGCGAGACAGAGAGCGCGAGAAAGGGAGAGAGTATGAACGAGATGGAGAGAGAAAGATGAAGAGCGAGAGAGAGACGGACAGGGCAGAAATCATTGAGGAAATTCGCGCACCGCTCGACTATATTCGTTTCGGGCGACGCGTGCGGCCACTTCCGCGTACATACTACGAATTCCTCGCGGCCACCGCCGCGTACCGTTGCCTTTTTGCTCGTGTTCCTCGTTTACTATCTTTTAACCATCGATCCCGTCGACAGAAACGCCCGTCGCGGCGTGTCGCGCTCGAGAACCGGTCCCCCGAAGAAAAAAACCGCACCGGTCCTCGAAAACCAAAAAGAAAATGGTTCCGGCGAACCGTCGTCGAGCCTTCCGACACGTTGGCGATCGTTCCCTTTTCGGCGACGAATTCGATTCCTTTCTATTTCCGAGCGGGCCGACGTATAACCGTTCCGAATCCTATAGTCTTCGGCGGAATAAAAAAAGAGCCGGAAGCCGAAGAGACGCGGATGACCGCGAACTCGCGCGATCGATCGATCACGCGCCAAGATCGAGGCTCTCGGGTTCGAATAGCGCGGCTACGGTGCGCGGTACGCGCGGTATTTAGTGCAATTGTGATTCGAGGAAACACAAGCTCGCAAATAAACCTCGTAACTTAAGCCCGCACCCAATTCCGTTTCTCTCGCGTTACATAATCGTATCGAAACGAATCGAATCGTACGGAAAGTTCGTCGAGACCGCGGACGATCCGCCAGCCGATAGGATCCTTGCGGTCTCGCGGATCGCCAAACGGATCCGTTCGCGTTTCCATGGGATTTTCGTGATCACGTGACTTTTACAGATGTAGAACATCATGGCTATCAGCATCAAGTTCACGAAATTCGACAACACACCATGGGGATTTCGATTGGCCGGCGGGAGCGACTTCCCGCAGCCGCTGACTGTCATCAGAGTACGTACTTCTGGTTACGAGCGATTTCACGTTGTCTCGAGTGCATATTCTCCGCGGATATGTCCGCGGCGAATTGTAGTCTCGTGTCTGGATCGCGTAACGATACGCAGCAGAAATTTTGAACGACTAACAACAACGCGATCCCCTGAGAGACGGCCGCGCAAATGCGAACTAGCACGGCTGGTTGCATGCTCCCAGGTGCCGGCGCTACAACGCAACGGTAAAGTGGGGATTTTCGCGTCTTCCCGTGACTGGGTCTACGTTATCGGTAGCGCGAACCAGACCGGCGGCAATTCTCGCGGAATTTCGAACTAGCTTCGTTGCGGCAACGCGGCACCGCGAGATTCATTTTTAAAACGGAACTTTACGCAGCTACTTAACCCCGTGCCGTGCAATATTCTTCACCGCTGCAACGACCGGTTACTGTTTCGATCCTGATCGTTTCTTGGGAAGAAGATTACGTTCGTTGTGTTTTCGCCTAGACTTACTGATAACGAGTGAACAGAATTTGAGTCATAACTAGATTGCGGAATTTTCTGCAAAATCGAAATTAGTAGTATTTACAAGATATAGGAACTACGTAGATATTTATATCGTTTTGTTATCGTTTCGATAAGTTAGAATTTATATAATATATATAATATAATATATATTATATATATTATATTAATTATTTTTTAGTTTTAAATATATATTATATTATATATATTATTATATAAATATATATACAATAGAACGGTATTTTCAAATTACAAGAGTTTCCATTATTTTGTACTTGATCGACTCATTTTTGTTATAAATGCATCAAAACCGCGGTCTGGTCATAACACTCGCAGTTAACAAATTACATTTGAAAACTTCATCGCGAGTTGACGCGATGGGGTTAATCAATTTTTAACGACTGTGCTACATCCAAGAGACAACGTGTTAATTTTCGAACGAAGTTGCTATCGTTTTTAGAAAATTCATTAACGGCTGAAAGTCTTGTAAAGAAAAATGAGGGATCCCCGGGGGGCTAAGCGATCGAATAGGGGAAGGCCACAGGGGAAGAGCCGCTCAAGTTTTTCCGATGGTTCAATTGTTTCGAATGGTTTTTCGTCCGGAACGAGGACCACGATAAAACAGAGACGGACGTAAATGGGAACGTGTTTGGCAGGTGACAGAGGAGAGCCTCGCAGAATGCATGGGCTTGAAGGTCGGCGACGTCGTGGTCCGATTGAACGACCAGGCGATCGGCGGCTTGACCCACGGTCAGGCGCACGAAGAGTTGGTGCGAGCGGGCAATAATTTCGTTCTTGGGATACAGCGGTGAGTAAACCCGCGACGATCGCGTCGATTAAACCGCGAACAAAGCTCGCGCGAATTCTGAATGGGCGTCGACGAGCGACCGGAAGCGGCCCGCCGAATCGATTGCGACGCAACGACGGTCCTTGTCCCAATGTCAACGACACGTTGCGCACCGTCTCGGGGTCCGCTTGGACCATGAAGCTTAACTTGAACTACTTTTGCCCGCGAAGAATCTTCTCGGATGATTCACCTATCGCGAATTTATCTGCGACGCGCGTCCGCGCGGCGACCAACCCCGCGCCTCTGCGCCGGTTTAATAATATTCCGTCCTGTTCGTGAATTATTTCGTCGATTCGACCGACACGCTTCGACGTTTCGTTTCCGCGGAGACGGATGATCTACGAGAACGTGGCCGCCGGTGGCCCTGTACGCGGCTTCGTATATTATAATAATACGTCGGGGCCAGAGTATCCCGGCGTTACGGGCATCGTGAGGCAACGGGATTGCAACACTTATAAATAGGTGACCCAGAATGAAATCTGTTTATCATTGGTCGGCGATTTTATTGCTGGCATTTACTCCTCGCGCGTTTGTTCCCCGATCCCTCTCATTACCGTTTCGCGCGTGAACCGGCTCGTAGTCGGCCAGGCTCGCCGAAAACCGAGTTAAAATCGTCGCCCGCTCCCAATTCCAAAGTTCGCTTCGCGACGGCCTCTCGCGCACTTTGCCGCGAGCATAAACGAGATCGTAAAACTAGATCGAGCACGGAAAACGCGACGACGCGTCGCGCCGCACGTATCCACTCCATCGATTCCGCCGATTCCGTCGTCCGAATCGGCCAGCCATTAATCGACGCGATTCTTGCCGCAGAGAAGGAGATCCACATAAGGCTCTGGAGGGACTGTCCGAGGAGAACATCGTCCCGTACAAGATTCCCGTACGTACATCTCGATTCGTCCGAGCCGGCCGTTGCTTAACCCGCTAACCGATCGTCGATCGCGCATCGATCAAGCTCGCACTCTCTCTCGCACACACACATACACATGCGCACAATCAGCAAAATAGAACTATTTCTCCCGATGCGGATAACGGGTTAAGAATAATCTCGAGCCCTCGGTCTTCGCCTAGTCCGAACCCAGTTTCGACGAGACCGTTGACCACGAGGTGGTTCGTTTGTTAGCTAGCGGAACTACCGCCGGTATTCCCGGAGCAGATCTTGAAGGAGGAGACGGTGATCGAGCAGTGCGAGGAGATCACGTACGAGGAGAAGACCGTGGTGGAGGCCGAGCCAGAAGTGGAACCGCTCCCAGAGAAGCCAAAAGACGAGAACAGCGAGATCGTGCCGAATCAGAATCTCACGGACGACGAGATCGCTCAGTTGATTCTCGAGGAGGAGGAGCTGCTCGACGACAAGGGAGTCTTGGGGTAGAGATTCATCGTTCCTTCCGCTTACGTCGCTTTGCACCGGGCCTCGGAATTAAGTGCGCGCAACACGGCGACGTCAGCGGCTACGCCTCCCGACTCCCGCCGCGCGTCTCGCTCACCCGTGGCCGCCTAAATGCTACACGCGCGCGCGCCTGACGTGCTCCGAGCCGAAAGAGGCGACCAGGGGGGGAGCGAGACGCTGGGATGAGAGTTGAGAGGCGTAGCCGCCGACGTTGCCGCGATGCACTTAATTCCGAGCCCTGCTTTACACTCATTTTCTAACGCTCGGGAGAGGTTCTCGAGGCGACGGACGCCTCGGCGGAGGATCGCCGAGCAAACTGATCCCGGCTGTCTTGTTTCAGGGTGAACTTCAAGAAGCTTCGACCCCGGGCGACGGTGCTGAAGCAGTCGAAGGTGATCGAGGAGCTGCAGAACATCGCGACAGCGGAGCCGCCGTTGGTCGAGCAGCTGAGACGCACCTCGGTGTTCCTGCAGAAGCCGCAGCGGCCGATCCCGCAGCCGCGCAAGAAGGAGGAGCAGCTCGAGGAAACCGAGGTCGAGTCCTACCGGGTGGTGATCACCAAGCAGAAGAAGAGAACCGTGACCGACCGGCTGCTGGAGAAAGGCTTGCTCAAGCCGGAAGAGCAAAAGACCCCGGAGCCCCCGACCCCCGAGGTAATCATGGCCAGTTGCGAAACGGTGTCGAGAATCGAGGAGACGATCCTCCCTCGCGAGGAGGACGAGTCGTGCGAGCTGCGCGCTTTCGAGCAGCTCGAGGCCGTCGGTTCCGAGCCGCTGCTCGAGTTTCCCTCGACTTCGTCCCCTTCGGACGCGATCGAGCCGGAAACCGTCGTCGTCGTCGCGCGCTTGGAAATCGCCGCGCCGGCGCAACCGTCGAAGCGCAGAGAGGCCGCGGTCGTGGCGCGGCGGCCTTTGAGCAAACGAAAGTCGAAGGGATTCTACACGAGGGGCCACTACTTCCGGCGCTGCTTGTTCGGGAAAAAGAGCCTCTCGGACGCTAAGAAACCGGCCAGAGCCAGGTCCACGCTCCGAGAGCACCCGCAGCAGAACGTCGTCGAGGACGTTCCGCTCGATTCCGAGCCGCCGGAAGGAACGTCGCGCTGCGGTATCATCGAGAAATCGCCGCGGTTCAGGGTCAAGGGTCGCTACCTCGAGACGTACTTGAAGCGCGAGGACAACTGGATGAGGCGAATGGTCGACGGACTCCTCGACAAGCCGGAGAGCTTCTCCTCGAGCAGGCTGTTCGACAGGCTAATTTCGCGCAAGGAGGTGTCCTGGCGGAGGACCCGCTACGGGGAGAGGATCCTCGCGCGCAGCGTCGAGTTCGTCGCCGTTCGTCTTCGCTCGGACCTGCTGGCCTATCTCGAGCAGGGCGGCTCCGTGGACGCTCTGAATCCCGCCCAGTCCAGGATCCGCAAGCGATTCTATCTGAAGGGTCGCTACTTCCAGCGCATCCTCTGGAGAAACGTTGCCCGCTTGGTGAACTATCTGAAGGGCGTCTCGTCCTCGAGAGACGTGCCGCGCCGCGACAGGAGGAGGAGCTCGATGATTAAGATGAAGGGTCGGTACGTGGAGAAGTGTCTGCAGAGCGGTCTGTTCTCGCGCGCCGCGACGCGTCCCATCGTCGTGTCCTCGAAGAGGAAGCTGTTCGCTCGTACTCGCTACGCCGAGCGGATCCTGAAGAAGCACTTCGAGTCGCTCGGCGTGATCGTGGGCTACCTTCGCGGCCAGATCCTCCGAGCGATTTCCGATTCGTCGGCGCTCGCTTCGCAGAGCTGCCTCTCGGATCGAGAGGACCGCGCCGCGTTCTCCGATCTGCTCCGCTCCTCGAAAGACTTCATCTCGACGGAGGTGTTCCACCGGGGCAGCAGGCGTCTCTCGAGACCCCTCTGCCGAGCCAGCGTCCCCGAGCCGAGCTCGTTCGCTCTTCTGCGAGACCTTGTGCTCGATTGGCTACCGGCCAAGCTCACCGGCCGATTCGCCGATCGGGCGACGATCGCCGAGAAGAAGGCGGCCAGCCTCGACGTGGACCGCGACGGTCGCAGGTTGTCTTTCGTCCCGACGATCCTCTACGAGGGCCTGACGAACCGAATCGGCGTCGACTTCACGAGGCTGGTGGCGTACGCGTTCGTACCCTGCACCTCGATCATCCTGCTCTACATGTACAAGTGATCCGCTCGATTCTCGCACGATCGTCCGCAGCACCGTTTCTTTTTTGCCGATTTACCTTAGCGTTCGCCGAGAGAAGGCTCGACGATACGATCGCGGCCCACCCGTAAACGCGCAGCGAAGGAAGTCGAAAAATGGTGTTGGTTGCTCGTAATGTGTGTTGTTGTTCTTGTATCTTCTTGTCCAGTGTAACCGCATAACGTGTTTACTCGTAGCTAGAGGCAACTTGTCCCCGGAGCCGGATGCGGAGGATTTCTTGTTCGTTCTAACATTAGCAATAATAACACCGTGACGATTCCCGGAGTCGGAATTAGATCGATTTGTCGCGCGGCCCGACATGTATGTGTAATCGTAGCGCAGTATACTCGTAGCTGACTCGATCCGCGCGTCTTGTCCGAACGAGCGCGGGAGTAGAACTCCTCGTGTGTCGGATCGATGCATGTTACAATGTCTCTGTCTCACCACATACACACTCTCATTGTCAATGTACGCACACGAATGGAAGTAAAAAAAGAAAAAAAAAGAAAGAGTACCCAGTACACGTTCGAAATAAAATGCGTATGTTTGGATGCATCCAGTGCCACAGAATCTCGATAAACCCTTAACAGGCTTCGATCGAGGCTGCCGTTGGGACCCAGGAAACGGCAACTTATCCCGTTAATCCTGTCCGCTTTCCGGAAACGAACCCGAATGCACGCGGAGCCGGTGAGTATATCCTTCTCTCTTTTTCTGCCTCGAGAGACCACGTTCGTATTGCGTGTTTATTGTCCGAGTATGTACATCGAGTATCGAGTACAGATACCCTCCTTCTAGAGGTGGATAACGTAAAGTGGAACAAGCCGCGCGAATCGTCGTTCGGCGCACGCGTACATTTGCTCGAGCTGCTAAAAAAAGCGAACAACGTATTCCGCGGATACTTTTCGAAGTCCTGGTGAAATTTGGCTGAACATTACAGAAAATCATGAATCGTGTATCGCCCGGGGGCGACGCGAACGGAGGCCGGAAAGGAAAGTTTCTGTGTGCATTTCGGTTGGTTTGCGCGGCCGATCAAACACAAACGATGGCGCCGAGCATCGTTGTCCACGGTGTGCCGATGTTCTCTAGCGGTTTCTCTGAATTTAGGCGACACCGTCGGCGACCCCGGAGCCCGGCTATCGATCGGACCAGGAACGCGAGGTCGATTCGCGTCCCGAATCGAAGGCAGAGTCCGCGAGGCCTGACAGCGAGGCCGATCGGCGGTCACAAGAGGACATCCTCGAGCAGGAGAGCCCCGAACCGGAAGCGTCCCGCGAAGAAGAGACCTGCAGCATTCAACAGTCGAGCAGGGAAACGGTGATCAGCGAGATCGAGAAAGAGATGGCGGAGATCGCGTCGAAGGTCGACCGGGAGAAGATCAAGGAGCTGGTCAGCACGGAGATCAACCTGGAGAAGCAGCTGGAGAACGTGCAGCGGCAGCTGCTGTCGCTAAAGCAGCTCCCGAGCGAGATCGAGAATCACCTGAGAATCGTCTCGGAGCAGTTGCAGAAGATCATGGAGCTGAGCGGCGTGCAAAACGGCGCCACCGACGAGAACGAGAAGACCTCGCGAGGTAAGCTCGCTGGCTAACGTTGTGTCGCCGAGGCCTCGATCGGTACGGCTCGAGAGTAGGCGCGAATATTTTTGAATTATCACGGATTTCGGTTTTGAACCGGTGCCAAGGATAGTCGCGGGCGCGTCGAGCACTCTATCGATTCTATGCCGTTCTCTCGTTTCGTTCGCCGATGGCTCGCGCGAGACGATTCGGCCATGCGACCCATTTTTCACACCCAGCTCCACCAATCCTCCCTTTGCCCGCAACCATTCCAGATCGAATGGCATCGATCGTTACCTTAATCTACCTTAATCTATGAAATCGCTCGGAATGCATCGCCACGGTGACGTTTCAGAGGAGGAAGAGGAGAGGAAGCAGTCGGAGGGCGAGCAGGAGGAGGAGCAGGTGGAGCACGAGGAGGAGACGGAGGAGACCGACTTCACGGAGGACTTCTCGTACACCGCGTACTACGACGAGCATCAACACGAGCGGGTCGTCTCGCAGCCCGTGGAGGAGGACGAGGAGGAGACCGAGACGCAGGAGCTCGAGGGCACGCTGTCGGTGAAGAGCGAGGAGGGCAGCAGGGTGAAAAAGTTCGTGGTCTCGTACGAGACGAAAGTTATCAAGTCGCCGAGCCCGGCCCCGTCCCACGGTAAATCTCTCTCTTATCTTCGGTTCGATCGCCGCGCCGATCTCCTCTCTTACCGCTAGGAGATCCGCCGTGAACCGGCCTTCCTATGATTGATGATAATTATCGATTGTCGAACAACTTGTAGGAAGTTTCGAACCCGACCCAAAACTCTCGCCGAAAGATCAAGTAATTCAGGAGTTGCAGGTATTCTGGAAACCGATGTGGAATGCGTGATCGTGTTGTGCACCCCGTCTCGTTCCGCCCGCGGCCCACCCCGCGGATTTACTACGTTTTAATCGCATCGATGTTGCCCCGTGGATTCCACTGTAATCTCTGCTCGAACCGTACCCCCGATCTCTCCCCCTCTCTCTCTCTCTCCCTCTTCTACTCTCTTTTACTCTCTTTTACTCCCCGGTCCGCGAGATATTCCTCGCGGACTTCCACCGTAAGAATTAACAGCCGTCCATTAAACGTGCCCGGTGATACCGCGCGCAAGCTGTCCGATGTTGAAAAGTGCCGATCGCTGCCCTTGAGCTCCCAAGTCCTTAAACTTCGCGGAGCGAAAGTATCCGTGTCACGCGCGTTGCACGTGTACGTGTATCCTAGGTCCCCGAGCCGCGGGCTCCGGGCCCGGTTCGTGGGCCCGAGGCCTCGAGCATCGGGCCCCGCAACGCGAATTCCTCCTCCGGTAACCCTTGTCTTGTCGCGCGAGCATTCCTCGAGAGAGCCCCCCCCCCCTCCCCTCCNTTCGAAGTCCTGGTGAAATTTGGCTGAACATTACAGAAAATCATGAATCGTGTATCGCCCGGGGGCGACGCGAACGGAGGCCGGAAAGGAAAGTTTCTGTGTGCATTTCGGTTGGTTTGCGCGGCCGATCAAACACAAACGATGGCGCCGAGCATCGTTGTCCACGGTGTGCCGATGTTCTCTAGCGGTTTCTCTGAATTTAGGCGACACCGTCGGCGACCCCGGAGCCCGGCTATCGATCGGACCAGGAACGCGAGGTCGATTCGCGTCCCGAATCGAAGGCAGAGTCCGCGAGGCCTGACAGCGAGGCCGATCGGCGGTCACAAGAGGACATCCTCGAGCAGGAGAGCCCCGAACCGGAAGCGTCCCGCGAAGAAGAGACCTGCAGCATTCAACAGTCGAGCAGGGAAACGGTGATCAGCGAGATCGAGAAAGAGATGGCGGAGATCGCGTCGAAGGTCGACCGGGAGAAGATCAAGGAGCTGGTCAGCACGGAGATCAACCTGGAGAAGCAGCTGGAGAACGTGCAGCGGCAGCTGCTGTCGCTAAAGCAGCTCCCGAGCGAGATCGAGAATCACCTGAGAATCGTCTCGGAGCAGTTGCAGAAGATCATGGAGCTGAGCGGCGTGCAAAACGGCGCCACCGACGAGAACGAGAAGACCTCGCGAGGTAAGCTCGCTGGCTAACGTTGTGTCGCCGAGGCCTCGATCGGTACGGCTCGAGAGTAGGCGCGAATATTTTTGAATTATCACGGATTTCGGTTTTGAACCGGTGCCAAGGATAGTCGCGGGCGCGTCGAGCACTCTATCGATTCTATGCCGTTCTCTCGTTTCGTTCGCCGATGGCTCGCGCGAGACGATTCGGCCATGCGACCCATTTTTCACACCCAGCTCCACCAATCCTCCCTTTGCCCGCAACCATTCCAGATCGAATGGCATCGATCGTTACCTTAATCTACCTTAATCTATGAAATCGCTCGGAATGCATCGCCACGGTGACGTTTCAGAGGAGGAAGAGGAGAGGAAGCAGTCGGAGGGCGAGCAGGAGGAGGAGCAGGTGGAGCACGAGGAGGAGACGGAGGAGACCGACTTCACGGAGGACTTCTCGTACACCGCGTACTACGACGAGCATCAACACGAGCGGGTCGTCTCGCAGCCCGTGGAGGAGGACGAGGAGGAGACCGAGACGCAGGAGCTCGAGGGCACGCTGTCGGTGAAGAGCGAGGAGGGCAGCAGGGTGAAAAAGTTCGTGGTCTCGTACGAGACGAAAGTTATCAAGTCGCCGAGCCCGGCCCCGTCCCACGGTAAATCTCTCTCTTATCTTCGGTTCGATCGCCGCGCCGATCTCCTCTCTTACCGCTAGGAGATCCGCCGTGAACCGGCCTTCCTATGATTGATGATAATTATCGATTGTCGAACAACTTGTAGGAAGTTTCGAACCCGACCCAAAACTCTCGCCGAAAGATCAAGTAATTCAGGAGTTGCAGGTATTCTGGAAACCGATGTGGAATGCGTGATCGTGTTGTGCACCCCGTCTCGTTCCGCCCGCGGCCCACCCCGCGGATTTACTACGTTTTAATCGCATCGATGTTGCCCCGTGGATTCCACTGTAATCTCTGCTCGAACCGTACCCCCGATCTCTCCCCCTCTCTCTCTCTCTCCCTCTTCTACTCTCTTTTACTCTCTTTTACTCCCCGGTCCGCGAGATATTCCTCGCGGACTTCCACCGTAAGAATTAACAGCCGTCCATTAAACGTGCCCGGTGATACCGCGCGCAAGCTGTCCGATGTTGAAAAGTGCCGATCGCTGCCCTTGAGCTCCCAAGTCCTTAAACTTCGCGGAGCGAAAGTATCCGTGTCACGCGCGTTGCACGTGTACGTGTATCCTAGGTCCCCGAGCCGCGGGCTCCGGGCCCGGTTCGTGGGCCCGAGGCCTCGAGCATCGGGCCCCGCAACGCGAATTCCTCCTCCGGTAACCCTTGTCTTGTCGCGCGAGCATTCCTCGAGAGAGCCCCCCCCCCCCCCCCCCCCCCCCCCCCCNCCTCTGGTCCAGAGAATGACGCTAGATCTCGCATCTTGCAGCAGAGAATGCAGCAGAGAGGAAGGAAAGCCTCGCAGGACATGTGGCCGCAGGCTAAGCAGGTCGAGCTCACTCTGGGCCGCAGATGGAGGTGTCCGAACGATTTCTTCAACGACGAAATGATCGCCGAGGTTCTATCTTCCCAGGCGGAAGTTATTCGAGGCAGAGCCCTAGGGTAAGCGCGTCCCGTCGTCCCCTTGCCGGAATCCGGCCGGGTTTCAATTAGCTCCTTTCACTCGAAATCGGCCCCGAGCCACGGGTTTTCTATCTGACTCATCGCGTCCGTCGCGATCGTCTCGGGAAATTGTTCGGTGATTCACCGGCGATCGATGCGCGCCACGAATTTTCGAGCCGATGTCCTCAACAATTCACCGATGCTTATTCCGATCGATCGCTTTCGGGCAGAGTGAACTTCAAGAAGTACGAGAAGACGGCGCTGCCGAACTACGACCACCTGATGAACTCGAGCGTCTACAAGATGATTCATAAGATGGACAAGGAGCCGAGGAAAGGAATTCCAGCGAGGCCCGCGAAAGTGAACGCCGCGGAGGACATAATCGAGAGGGTCGTACGTATTCGTTTACGTTTCGCTGTCGTTTTACCAAGTGGTCCAACCATCTCTCTCTCTCTCTCTCTCTCTCTCTTTCTCACACTCACTCGCTCACACCTGTCTGCGCTCGCTTCCTTTCAGAAATCTCCAGCGTTGAGCGTCGCGGACGACAGGAGTAATCGGAGCGTCAGCCACTAAGCCCCCGGAACACCGAACCAATTCATTCTCTCGATTACCAAAAGACGAACAAGGAGAACCGAAGGCAGAGCAACCAGCCACGTCGCGACCATAAGACAAAAAAAAACGTTAAACGTTAAGCGAACGCGTGCGCCTAGACCGAGAACATCGAGCCGTTACGTGGATCATTAGGTATGTTTGCGTGCCGTATAATACATACATACATACACGTCTCGAAGTGCAAGCATTGTCAAAATCATTGCGAGGATTAAGCCGTTGATAAAGATTAATAAAAGGATTGAATCATTTTCGTAATACGGTCTGCTCTTTATGTGTACCGGCGCAAAGTTCCCAGTCGCACCTTCGGCGAACACGTTCGGACGAACCACGCGGCGTACGCTGCACGTTTGGCTCCAGGACGTGGCCAATGGAGATCGTTTAGACACGTTTCGAACATTGAACCGTCCAGCCGACTGTCTTGACGTGCACCTAATAAGATTATTCGAGTTCGATCGAGACGAGTCGATGAAGAAACGTCACGAATGTCCGCGAAACTGTGAATCACGGGTGAAACGTCGCTTTTATCTGGGTCACGTTTTCTGGCATCATCCTGTTGACGCAACGATACAGCCGAACGTAACGTCGTTTCGCGGAATCGGATATCCGAGGAGGAATCTAGCCGCGGATGAGTCGCGGACGAGCGGCGAGCGTGCTTTCACCTTTCCAGAGTTTCCGAGTCACCGCGACTACGCGGAGACTCCGCGGTGTCCCGCGCGGTACCATGGTTTCATGGTCCCGTGTCCCGTGTCTCGTGTTCCGCGCGCGTACCCGGGAGAAGCTGAGTCACGTCTGCCTGCTGGCCAAAGAACGTTCTTTCCTCTCCTCTCCCTCTTTCGCCGTCGGTCCGCGCCGGGTTCTCTCGCGCTCTCGCAGCCTCCGAGAACGTGACGTCGGCCCCGAGCAATTTATGTAAAGCATTCTAGGCATGATTCACGAACTAGTTCGCGCCCTCGTGACCGCCACCGGCGCAGAAAATGCAGTCACACCGCTCGACACCACGAAAATCTCGGTTCATCCAGGCGCGGCGCGGCGCACCGCGATCCAGACGCGAAAAGGCGTTCGCTGAGGCAACGCCTCGAACCTTGCGTCCACCGTTCACGATCCCCCCCGAGTCACGAACCCGTACACGTCCGACGACAATCGATCGGAACTCCGCTCTCGACGGGGTGTTAACGGACTCGCATCCCACAGAAGCGCGGCCTGGCGCGCCGCGAGTCGAACGTCCGCGCCAAGGACACGCGAGCAAGCCGAGAGCTACCCGCTAATCGATCGATCGTCCTTCCGATCGCGCCGAGAATCGCATAGGTGGATCCGGTGCCGAGCAAGGTGCTTCTTCGCGTTACCAGCTGAAACTGCACGAATGTCGTAAGGTGCAGCAGTTTTCGTATACGATAGCCCTATCCGAACGATACTTCGCGAAATTGGCGCACGTCGAAACCACGTTGGTTCGTTCTCGATCCCACTCCTGCGGATGGCATGTTATCGAACTGGAGTGGGGTATGGGTTCTTTCTTTGGTAAACAGGGTACAATCGGGACCGGAGAACTGTTCTAACATTCTGAACAACTCCACGGGTCTGAATCCGCGGTGCTGCGTCTCTACGATATTGGGGAATGTCAAAAACGCATCGGTCTCCGATAGAAAACTATCACACGCTTGCCGATGGGACGTTATCGGACTGCAGTGGAACGAGCAGGTAAGGTCGCTGCACCTTGGGCTTTTCTTCTGGGTTCAGCAGGGTGCAATGCAGGTGGAAAAATTGCGGCGAGCCGGTGGATTTTTCATAAGACGATACGCAACAGACGAGAAACATGCGGATGGATGCCGAGGACAGTTTGCTTCCTCTTTCCATTAGAATGGTCTCTCCTCGCCCCTGGTCCCCCTCGGTGCCCACCGGTTTCCGCCGGTCCCTGGGTCGCGGTTGTTCCACCCACCCTGCCCCCTCCGCCACGGGATTCCGGATCGCGGTCTCGTTCGTTGCCGCGTGTTATCCCCATCCCCGCCCCATGGCCTTTGCCGCGGCACAGTCGAATCGGATGGAAGGAAGGAAGGCAGCCAGGCAGTAAGGCAGGCAGGCCCCGCTGCCCGACTGACCGTCCTCGTCGTCTCGTCTCGTTGTACCTTTACTCCGGTCCGCGCGTTCCTCGAGCACGTACGTGCCGTGCCTCGCCTCGCCTTGCCTCGCCTCGCCTCGTCTGGTCTGGTCGCTATACCTCGCCGCCGCTTGGTTCCGTTTGGTTCAGTTCGGTTCTAGCTAATCTGCGCGCGATTCCGCCTCCTCGCCAAGCCAGACGTCAACCGTGACCGACCGGTGCAACCTCCTCGCGACTTTCTCGTCTCCGCTTTTCAGTTGTATCCGCGCCGCCAAATCGCTCGGTTCCCCGCACGCGCCGCCTTCCTTCTTCCGTCGACTGAACCGAGGTCCAAAAGTTTACGCCGAGGGTTCGGTTGTTGATTGGTCGACCAGGTGAAACGACGTATCAGTGATTATGGCCCAGCTGATCAGCGTGAAGCTGTCCAGGTTCGACGGGTCCCCGTGGGGCTTTCGCCTGCAGGGCGGCAAGGACTTCGGCACCCCGCTCGTCGTCCAGAAGGTGAGCCGATTCCGCTTTGACAGCTTCCACCGAGAACAACGACAGTGTCACATGTTATACATCGCCGTTTCCTACGAGTGCTCTACGGCGTCGATCGTCGAGTCGCCGGTTCGACGTAGATCACGAAGTGTTTTCTTGATTCTTTTTTCGGAAGCCGGCGAACCGCGGATCTATTCGCGATCTTCGCGGCACCACCGACGGTTCGGCGACGATCACCGATCGCGAAGTGTTCGCCGATAGATCCGGCATGGTGATCGCCGGGTCTAGAGGCATCGCGACTGACAAGTTGATCTCGCGCCGCCGCGATAGTGCAATGTTATCGTAGATCGCGAAACTTCGCTGATAAACGTTCGATATCGGCGCGCAATCTGTCGGTTCGGTTGTTCTAGGCTTCGACGAATGTGCCGCGGATCCGAATGTTAGTCTTTGCCCGTGGACGGCGAAACGTGCGAATGACAACGCGAATGATTCTCGCCCAGGGTCCGTTGCGTTCGCGTTTTCGACGGCAGGGCTCGTCGCATTATTTTGCGAAAACCGAGGATCGATCCTGCCCGGTTGTGGTATCTCGCGGTTACGTAACGGCGAGCACGGCAAACGCCAAATTATTTCACGCGCATCGGTAGAAATCGCTGCCAACTACGTGCGAAACGCGCGGCTCGTCGTCGCCGCCGTGTTTTGGCGACGAGGCGCGCTGTAACACGAGAAGCTCTTGGCTACCCCCTCGGCTCACGGCTTTCGTGCGGATTTTCAAACTTTCTTCGTGTCCGCGAGCTCGCGGAATCGCCGTTCTGTCGCGGGTCGCGGATCGTGGATCGCCGGCCGCGCGCAACCGGTTACGAAATCTCGAGCGCTCTATTACGTCGAATTTCGCGGTCGATGTTTCGCTCTCCTGGCCGTCCATCTGTTTTCACTGCCATGTTTATTATTATTCGCCGAAAGAGAAAGAGAGAAGGGAGGCCCGAGAGAACCGCGATCTCTCGGCCGATGTATTTCAGGGGGTTGGAATGCCGTCAATCGTCCGACATAGTAAAACGTTCTTTACATTGTGCCTCACAGTCGTCTTTTGTCTGTCCCGCGCGATATTTATACCGTTTCGATTCTCTCTCTCTCTCCCACTCTCTCTCTTCTCCTCTCCTCTCCTCTCGCTTCACAGCGGATAACAATAACGAACGAACGAACGAATGGACGATGGACAAGCAGCGAAACGCGGGGACGGTGGTCGCTGTTTCGGCGAATGTTGCGGGAGAAACGGGCTTCGAAAAAATCGCGCGCTCGATCCTAGCCAGAAACCGCGTCGAACGATCTTATCCTGCGATCGGCGTCTCGAACTTGGCCCTCTTAGCAGCCATGTGCTCCGTTTATTTTACGAGGTCGCGAACGCAAACGCGAACGGCAACGCGAACGAAATCTCCGGCCATCCCTTCGGTTTCTCGGAAAGGATAGAAATACGAGTCCTCGGACGTGAAACTCGGTCCTTCGGCCGAGATTACGAATTAATCGCGTGTAATTGCGAGAACGGAGGTGTCGCGATCTCGTCGCCGTAACCGTCCGGATGATTTATGGATCGCGCGCAGACGACCGCTAATCCCTTGCAGAAAAGCTGGGTCGTTTTCGGCCCGTAAACAACGATCGCACTCTTCCACGTCCGTTATACTTCTTACTTGACATTTGCGATAGAATGCCGAGCCTAGACGCGAGGCCTCCGCTTTGACAATTCCGTCGCCAGGATAAACAAAGCGTCGACGCGTCGCCAAGTCGCGATTAGTATCTTTCCGTTTTCAAATTTTTGAATCGAAATCGAGTTTCACGGGGGACGCCGAGGGGCGGCGCGATCGCGGGGAGTTTTGAAAAACCCGATGGCGACGGGTTCGAAAAGAGAGAAAAGGGAAGAGAAAGAGAGAGGGGCGGGGAGAGACAGCGACGCGTCGCTGGTAATCCGAGGCAAATTATTTGGGCGTTCTATTTCTAGAAGGTGCCTTTGCGAAACGCGCGAGCGAGCCGGGTCGAGTCCCGCTCGCGAAGACAACGACGAAGACGAAGGCACCGTCGACGACCACGACCAAGACCACGACGACGACCGTGTCGTCGGCGGGCTCTAGCTTCCTGGGCCGCGTTGGTCACCGCGAAAATAAATTTTTCCTCGGAGGGAGCGATCTCGCGCCGATCGATAAAAATACCGATCGACGAACGCACGTGTGCTGCGAACGCGAGCGTCGCGCGTCGGACTGCGTCGCGGCGACGGAAAAAAAAGGATCGAACGCGGCGTCGCGCCTCGTCCGCGATTCTCGCGCTCTTTTTCTTTCCGCGCTACGTGAAATTCGAAACGTGCCCCGCTCGCGTCATCTGCTAAGCTTGTTCTCCCGCGATCGAGTCTCCTGCCGCCGTTACAACCGTGTTCGACACCGAGAGCTACCAGATTTCTATCGCGATGGGCGAATAGATCCGAATGATTTCAAAGGAAAGATCAGAATTCGCACGAACGTCCGCTGGCTCTCGACCGACTATCTCTACGCGAGATTTTTATAGACGATCTTGCGAATGTTCAGGTAAAACAGGAACTGGTTTCGTCGACCGAAGGGCTCGTTACAGCATGGACGAAGTAGAAACATCTTTAGTCGCTACGTGTTACGGAACCGCAGGTGTTCCCGATTTTATAAAAGATTCACGGTCCATTAACCCATGCATGCCGAACGCTTTTCACAATTTTGCGACGGCCAATTTACGTTTACATATTTCCGTTATCTACTTCTCACAGGTCCATTTAACAGCAGTAACTAATGGCTTGAAACGGCTTCTAGAAAATTAGAATTTAGATGAGACCATCCGACGGTTAATTAGATCGAACAGGGAATAATCTCGTCTCGCTCGTCGTACCTGCAGGAAGGATTTCCTCGGTTATGTTATTGGCCATTGGGGCGATGCGTTCTTTGCACCGTTCGGTCTCGGTGCAGCGTGGGCGCGCTGTTACACGATATTTGGTCGCGCGGACGATGCACACGAGACCGCGTTATCGCTTTGTGCAAGGACTCGACATAAATTCCGCGTGTCGTTAGCCGATTACAGCGTCACGTCGACAGGCGCGTTTCCATCGTTAGCGTTCGCTTCTCTCCCGTGTCTAATTGCCGGCCAGGATAACGAGCGGCGAGCGCGCGCCACCGACTCGCAGGATGTTCCATTATTGTTTCCTGTTATCGGGTTAATTATCTTTTTCGTCTATCTATGTACGGCCGGTGAATTCCGCTCGGAACGAAACGCGATTTTAACGAAGCCTGTTCGCGCGCTTCTGCGGCGATTCGTCAACGTTCCGCCCTGCATCGTCGCTAGTGCCAATGGCTTAATTATCGTTGTCGTTAACCGCGTTTCCCGTTAGACCGCTAACACGTATTCCACAGCGGTCGATTTCTCGTCTTGTGTTCACCCGTGATCGTTACACTCTCGTTCCGATTACATCCTACGTTATACTTTGTTGGTTCTCGGCTGCTTAATTGGCGAACGCCGGGCGTATCTAAATCGTGTTAACGCTACCCTGGGAAAAGACTTGTTTTCGTTTGTTTTGCTTGGCGTCGATAAATGGCACCGTTGCCCGCCCGCCGTTCAAACGGAGTCTTCGCGGCGGCGAAATTCGACGTTCGATCGTGTAGCCGGCCAGCGTGTGCGCGCGAGCCGCGGTTAATTGGAAAATAAATTAATAAAAGCGCCGTCTCGGGGCGTGACAGCGACAGCTCGGGCCGGCAACGGCAACAATATTGCGCAACAGAGCGACGGTAACAGGTAGCCCAACCTCGGTCGAAAATACCTTCCGTACACCCTGAACCAGGGACTTCCTTCCGATAAAGGTTAACACACGGATGTGGCAACATCTGGGATTCTGCCAGCCGCGTGGGAAGAAGAGCGATTTACCGGATCGCCGCTGAAAAATGAAGTATCGCGGCGCGAGAAACGAATCCGAAGTAAATTACACATCGTTCCCGCTAAACATAGAAACAAACTTTCGTAAATATCTGTTGGAGGACGGCCTCTATTAAAAGAAGCGTCGTTCCGCCGGCAAATATATATGCTATTGCACCGTTCGCTCTCTTGCTTCTTTTTTTTTCTCTCTCCATCTCCTCGCTCGAGATCGCGAACGAAACGCGAACAGGGGTGAGGCGAGGCGCGAAGCGGGGGAGGAAGAGGGTGGTAACGCGGCAAGAGCCGAGTGTCGGGACCGGCGATATTTTCGTCATTATCGAAAATAAGCCGCGCCGCGTCGAGTCACCGTTCGCGAATTCTGTTTATGTCTAGCAGGCCCGATTTCGCGCGGCTCCGTTTCGCGTCGAAATGTAATCACGGCTTAAAATCGTTGCCTTGCCTCCGGAGCGTCGGACGTAAGCCCCGTCCATTCCGGCGAGTTATCGGCAACGTTTTAACGCCGTTAACGTTGCGGTTAGTCACGTCGTCCACCGAGAGATACAGTAGCCCCAGAAACTCTCTGTACATCAAATTGCCGGCTTGCGGCGAATCGTCGATGCGTATAATGCTACAATTTTCGTAAAAACGAATCGGAACCTGTTCCATTTTTCCAGCGCATCCTGCGTTCACGATCTTAATTGTTTTCGATCTAATGTCGAAAGCTGAGCGTAGATCGAAGTCGAGCTGTCTATCCTGGGAAATCTTGACTAATCCAAACGAAGCTGAATTTTTCCTTTTCAATAGAATAATTCTTCGAGATTCGGTGGAATAGATTTGCGAGATTCAATGGAATAGATCTGCGAGATTCAGTGAAATAGATCTGAGAGATTCAGTAGAATAATCTTTCGAGATTCGACGGAATCAACCTGCGAAATTCAGTGGAATAGATCTGGGAGATTCAGTGGAATAGATCTGCGAGATTCAGTGGAATAGATCTGCGAGTTTCAGTAGAATAAATTTCCGAGATTCAGTGGAATAGATCTGCGAGTTTCAGTAGAATAGATTTCCGAGATTCAGTAGAATAGTCTTTCGAGATTCGACGGAATCAACCCGCGAAATTCAGTGGAATAGATCTGGGAGATTCAGTAGAATAAATCTGCGAGATTCAGTGGAATAGATCTGCGAGATTCAGTGGAATAGATCTGCGAGATTCAGTAGAATAGATTTGCGAGATTCAGTAGAATAGTCTTTCGAGATTCGACGGAATCAACCTGCGAAATTCAGTGGAATAGATCTGCGCGATTCAGTAGAATAGATTTCCGAGATTCAGTAGAATAATCCTTCGAGATTCGGCGGAATCAACCTGCGAGATTCAGTGGAATAGATCTGCAAGATTCGGTGGAATAGATTTGCGAGATTCGGTGGAAGCGTCCTAAATGGGCGTGGCCTGTTTGCTGCCGACTCTAACGGGGTCAGATCGGTGCCACGAAGAGAGGAATGTCGGATAAAGCGAAAGAATATGTCGCCTGTGATCGTGGAAAGAGCAAATTGGTATGTTGCCGCTGGTTTTGTCGCGGCCTGTACTCGCGGGGGGTGGCGATAGCTGATTCGAATCCGGTGCAGGACGTGGCCGGCTGCCTTGCAACGGGTGCAACGTCGTAATTCCGCCGAGCGATAGAAAGGGAGCAAGACGAGGGTGGCCACGGTTTCCACGAAGGCTAGATTCGTCTCGTTCGGGACTTGTGCATCGAACTTTCGCGGGCCGAACGCGGATAGACCGTGGCGCGACGGTGCGTGTATGCGCATTGCAACGGAGCCCGATTCAACAACGGTGGAATAACAATTGGCCGACGATGACGAAACAAGCCTCGGTTTGTTTAAGATCGCTCGGTCGACGCGAACGCCAGCATCCGCAGCTGCACGCGCTGCTCGCCAAAATACCACGAATACATAGCTTACATAACTCGGAGCGGATAGACGCCTCGACTAGGCGGCTCGCTTCGAAATCATTCTATTTAGCCAATAAATTCTCGTATCAATCGGCCGGTGGTTCGTTGACGACGGTCGTCGAGGAATGCTCTGGCAACGGATTGGCAACACCTTCCACCGATTCCCTTGCCAATCGCCGATTCCACCTGCGTCGACCGCGATGCTGCTTCCTCGGCCAACGTTGTCTGTTTACAGATTCGACTGGTTATCGGTCTGGACGAGATCCTCCATTTTCCTCGGAAACATGCGCCAAGGTCCGCGGATCCTCCGCGACGTAGATACCGGTGACCTGCAAACAATAGGTTCCATTAAATCTTGACACAATTGCATCCGCGGCAGATGCACAGTCGGTTGTCGGTCAGTAGCGAAAGTTCACGATCAACGTAGATAAAGTTTACGTCGTTTCCCGACTAGATCTCCGCGCGTTTGCAGCCTCCTCGAAGATTCATGGCGAGGATGTCTCGTCGGAATTCTGCTCTTCGCGGCACGGCTAAACGAATCTACTGTACATTGGATTTTCGATGCTCGAATACCGAAGCGTAAGTCCGCATAAACATCCACGGTCTATTTCGAAACAGATAATCAATCTTGTTGAGTCAGCGGTTGCGTATGAATTATTTCTAACCGGTCGGTGCACAAGTTCGCGCTGTTTTAATTTCGATTTAAATGTCTCGCATAACAGTTACGTCTCGTTCGAAGAACGTGAAAAAGTCTCCGGACTGGTCCCCGAACGATCGAGCCCGGCTGCTAAAAGTCGAAGCAGGAAAAGGCGGCCGGTCGGCGTTGAGACAGCCGCTGAGAACGCGCTCGGAAATTGGGTGGCCGTGGGTGTTTTGGCCTAGATAGTTTGGAGATACAAGTTTCGAGAGGCGAAGGGATCGCGGGAAAACCGGGTGCACACGGCACTCGAATGCGTTTCGTCCGAGCTAACAAAAGTCGCTTCGACGGGGTTCGCCACGCTCCCGTCCCGTCGATTAGACGGACACGATCTCGGCGATCCCGATCTCGGCCGGCGTGCTGTTCTCTGTCCCGCGATCGTGCATCCTGCATCGTGCGCCTCGACCCGGCCGATCCACGAGTTTTTCCACCGCGACTACTACCAGTACCAGTTCAATTGTTCGAGCTGTCCGGCTGGAAGGCAACGAAACTCGTTCGCGATATACTTTTTTCGTTCGTTTTGCGCGCAAATGCAAATGCAGCCAAGGCCAGCGGCTGGCCGTGCATTCGCGGACACGAGCGGCGACGACCGTCTCGCGATAAAGACGTTCGACGCTTTCGTCTCCTAGCTTCCGAGCTCGAAAAACTTCTGACCAACGGAATTCGGGCAAGGCGAGCACTCTCGTCCACCCGAACAAAATGCGGTTGCGCTAGAAAACCGACGATTACGATCCACGCCGGGCTTGAATCATTATCGTCGATTAACGATAGTTGATACGCTCGCAATCGATGCGCTATCGAGTGCATCCGATTAGAAAAATGAAAACAGATAGCGTCGAGAAAGGTTTCGACATTCTCCGACCATTACGCTATGCGTTGCAAGCTCGACGATCGAACTACCGAGCACTGAAAACAACTAGCGCGAGCGCCGTTCAATCTTTCCCTATGAAATTATACTTTATCAACGATTTTAACCAGTTAGCTGTTGCAATCGTTTTTGAGAAACGTGAAAAGCGAAACCTAACATGCGCCGTAAAAAGTAAGCAATGACCTAACCCAGACACTGTATGCAATTTATTCATAATAATTATTTATATCTTTCTATTTGCTTCTTTTATTTCAGCTGGGCCTCCGAGTATTCAAAAGATCTTAAAAAATTTATATATTTTATAATAGATAATAAATATTAATATATAATAAATAATAATAATCTTGTATTTAATATATTTTAGTTATCGCTAGAATTGCAATTTGAACGGCTAATTTTCGCGCACGACGAGTATAACAGTCGCAGCACAAAATATTGCCGTTTGTTCGCGACGAGTATGCTCGTCAAGAACAGCTAACTGGTTACATGACAATATCTTTCAGTGCCATGACGGGAAAAAAAGTAGAATAAGATTCGGTGGATCATCCTCGTCGGAAGAGTCGCGCGACACGGCGGTCGCCGTTAAGTCGACCATTGTCCGATTCTTTTTTCCCGATCGGAACCTATCTTTCCGGTGGCCGATCGTTGGTTCGCCGGTGCAAAGAGAATTGCTGCGGAGGCCGAAAGGAAGCCCGGCCCGTGGATATTAATAGAGGCCGAGGCCCGGTGGCGTCCGCCACCGACGAGCTTACACCCGTGGATATAAAAATATCGCTTTTATTTCTCTCCGCGTCCTCCCGACTAGCCGACTTTTTTACCGTTTTCCCGACGCCATGGCTCCCTTTTTATTTTACACGATTACTCCCCTCGTCTCCTCATCGACTCATCCTCGCCTCATCCTCGCCTCCGCTTCGCCCCGTCTCGCCTGCTCGAGCGGCGCCGCGTGGAGTCGGCCTCCATCGACGAAGCGTTTCTTTTCACGCTTGCAACTCTGCCCGCCGGGATCCTCGTTTTAGCCTATCGAACAGAGTTCGTTTCAGATTCGTGTAATTAACACAGGAAACGCGAGAGTTTACGCACCGTTGGTACCGTTACGATTCCGTTACGACACGCATCGCGAAGAATGCCGAGTCCCTTCGCGCGCGCTCCCAGCCGAGATCCTTCTTCAATCTATAATGCAATGATTATCAAAAGCTGAGTACAGTTGGACGCGCAAGATAAAAAGGTTTAGTCACCCCTGGCCGAAGGGTTCTGCACCGATTCGCAATCTCAAAGACCGCAGGTTCTCGTCACGGTTCTGGGCTCGCAACTGTAAAAAAGAAAAAACAGAGTTAACGAAAATTTTCGAACAACCGTCGAGCGGAATGATTTGCGATCGGCGTCCCGTCTCGCCGCGGAAAGAATGCGGCTCCGTTTCCCGTGGAACGACCGCAAGCTCGTGAATATTCCTCCGGACGCTGTTATCCGTGTTTCCGCCTTGTTGTCAGCGGAACGGCCGAGAAAAGCCAGACAAGGCGGAGTGAAATTGTATCTCGATGACGAGGTCCGAAGATTTAGGAGCGCCATCGTAAATGCCGATTCGATTTCGGGAATGAGGAGGAGTAGGGGGCCACGGTGGGAGGCAGTTGTGGGAAATTTGCCAAAAGTCTGACCAGAAATCAGTCTTCCCTGCCGTGTGTCCGGCCGTGTGCTAGAGTAGCGTTTCTCGTGAATCCACGTCGCGGGTAACACGACACCCCGCAGTCATTCTCGTAATCGCCGAGCCGATTACGACATTATCGTTATAGTCGAGCAGCGGCGCGTCACCAGCACGATTTTCCCACCTCGCCGAATATTCGCGTAAGTAGATGAAGCTGTCGCCGGCCAAAAACCGGACCATAGAGCCACCAAGACCTGTTCCCATAGTCTCTAGAACTATGAAAATAGCTCGCGCTATACCAGCGATGGATAGAGCGCCTGGGACGGATAGAAACGCTATTGGTAGCGGCTATTAGTGCCGATAACTCTAATCGGCGTCGTTAAAAACCGCGCTGCCACCCCGCCGCGTCTTTATCAGCCGACGAAGAGGCGAGGTGAGCTCATTCCCGGCGCTTCGCTTACCGCGTCATCGACCGAAGTGCATCGTCTCGCGATGCACAAGGACTCTTTGTGAGGACCGCGTCGTTTTAGCGTCGCCGTGCGTCGCATCGACGACGCGCTTCCGGCTCTGGCTCGTGTGTGTCGTCGCGTCCAATCGGCCGCGTCTCCGGGAATCAAATTCGCTTTCGCGAACCCGTCCGTTTCCGTTGGCCCGCCGATATCCATCGTTTCCAAGTAAATCCGGCCGCGGTGCCCCGTGCCCCACTTCCCTCGAATTCGAGACGTCGGCGTCGGCGTTCGCCTTCGCAACCGAATAACCGAACGCTCTTCACGAGCGGAGCCGTCTCACGCCCTTCTCGCCACGGTCGACCAGAGGCGGGACAGATCGAAATCACATCGCGACGATCGGAATCCGTCCGCGCGAAAAATCCTCGAATCTCTCGAGGCGACGACGTCATCGGTATTCAGTCGCCCGTAGAAGGAGGTTTACGGCACCGGCTAGCCCCACGTTCCGCCGCGAATCCCGCAGTATTTGCCATACTCGCCGGTTTCGTACAAATCCGCGGAAAGATGCTGTCCGTCCACTGTCTCTGATTCGCCGATAGAATCATCGGAATAATCTGTATCTTCAAATTACGTTTGAAGAGATCTTCGGAGAGTTTCTTGCTTTGTTTATCATTCCAAGTAGTAGCAAAATTAGAAACAAAATTTTACTCATTGTCTAGTCGAATAGTCCTTCTATCACCTATAAAAAGTTCAATCATTTAGTTGAATCATTTTTTTAGACGATAGAAGTCGACTAGACAATGAATAAAATTTTGTTTCTAATTTTGCTATTACTTGGGAAAAAAATAAAAAAATATAGAGGTCTACTAAAGATATTATTTAAATTTTTGTTATAGACTCAGATAAAAAAGTTAAAAAACGAGTGTTTTTATTTTTTTTGTCGTTCAAAATAATAGCAAAATTTTAAAAAAAAGACATTTTGGTCATTGTCTAGTACACTAGTCCCTCTATCATCTAAAAATAATTCAAGTTACTTAATGTTTTAAAAAACTTAATGTGTGTGCGTGTGCGTTTTAAAAGGTGTACGAACACTTTTGTGGGACACTATATATATATATATATATACGGTATACCACATATATATATATACAGTAATGTCTCCCTAATTGACGCTCAGATTGTCCACAAAAATGGACAATTTGGAAAGAGGAGATACGATTATTCGAGTCTTGCGGCTCGTTCTTATAATTGTTGACAATCGGTAACTATAAAAACGAGTTGCAAAGCTCGAATAATGGAATCTCCTCTTCCGAAATTGTCCATTTTTGTGTACAATCTGAGCGTCAATTAGGGAGACATTACTTTATATACATATATTTGGATCGTGTTAACGGTAATATGAAATATCTACTGGAACACTTGTAAACACATAGATCAGGGTTGCGAAACCCATGCATTCGAAAGGGTGCAATGGTCGGAGGCGTCCGTTTTCCGAAGGTTAATCGCGTTTCATCGGTCGAATGGGTGATCGTAACACAGGGATACCGGTGAAATCTAGGGCGAAATGGGAGAGTGACGCGAAAGCAGCGAGTATCGGTGACTTATTTCCTTCCGAACGCGTTCCCTTTCATTCGGTCCGATTGGAACCGGTGTCACTGACCGAGGCCCGTTCCCTGCGGCCGCGACTCGGCTCCGCTTCTCTCCGTGCGGCTCTGCGCGGCTCTGCGAGCCTCGGTCCACGTTTTTCGAGGCTGTATCAACCGAGAAAGAGAGGGCGAAAGAGAGAAAGAGAGAGAGAGAGAGAGAGAAAGAGAAAAAGAGAGAGAGGGCACGTATGAACGAAGCCTTAAGCCCTCAAAGTGAGAGAAAGAAAAAAGAGCAGAGATGCATTCCAGCATGGAATGTGGGATGGATCCGTCTCTGATAACCCGCCCATTGGAATGCGTACCTCGTACACCTTGGCGTATTCTCCCTCTCGGTTCGACTGCATTCAAGTGCATCTACTTGCGCCCGCGTCACACATATTTCGGCCCTATTTTTAGACGCGTCGTTATTAATAATGCCCGCGGCAAACTATCTGCCGGACGCGGCGGCACCAACCACCGTGTCCTCGAACCTTTCCCGTGCCTGAAAAATCTCGGACGGCTCCAATCTCGCTCGGTCTCTCACGGTCCCTGGAATCGTCGTGCCCCGACTCGGGCCCAGCCGACGATTAAATCTATGGGAATCGGCGCCGATCCCGAGGCCCGAGCTTACGCCGGAAGCTTCGCCCGAAATCGCCTAACGCTATTATTACGCGAGAGGCGTGCGCCGAACCGCGAGACATCGCGTACTCGCTCGGAACACGCATATACGTCGACGAGTACGCGCGTACTCGTTCATTCATCGCGGTTCACGCGGGCAGAGCGGCCAGAGCGTGGAATGAAAACGGCCGGCCAGATATGTCATACGTAGAAGACTATACGCGCTGCACCTTGGTGCATTCTATCTCTCCGTCGGGCGACGCCGAGAGGTGTACGCCGTACGGGCGCGTGCGTGTGGCCGAGGCGTGCGTGTGAGTCGCCTATTTTTAGACCGGTCCAGGACTATTTTTAGAGGCAGGCTTTCACGGTGCCCACCGAGCTTAACCCTGACTTACGTCCTACGTGGTCGCGGACCTAGGGACTGCCGGAGGACGGCTCTGGTCAGAGGTTCGTTGGTCATCGACCAAATGGGCTCTGCGATTTTCCGCCGACCGGTCCAACGAGAACGAGCCCGGTCGCGGCCTAGCACGTGTCTCCGTTCGCCGTCTCCCGGGAATCGCATCGATCGTGATCGACGTCCGATCGGGCCTGCGACGGGGATTTCGATGAACGTTCTTCCGGATCCGATTGTTACGGCAGGAAAGACGATTCCGCGCCTCCTATTTCCGATGGCCCGATCTCGGCGACGCGAGTCCAGAGACCTTTGGTCTCTTGGCTATCGACCTAGATTCCTTCGGGCCTTGTCGGGCCTGGAAACATTCGGAGCCCGTGCACGCGCCGCGAGCCGACCCCGTCGTTGAAAATCTCTCCCGATACAAAAACACCGGTAATAAATCACCGGCCGTATTTATAGACGGAAACCGAGGCCGGCTCGATTCTGCTGGATCTATTAATTGTCCCCAAATCCATCGGGGAAACCGAGGGAGATAAGCCGCATCGATCTGGCGGCGGGTGGTTCTTAATGAACATCTCGTCGCGTTCTCTTTGTCCCGTCTGGACCGATCGCGGCCTCGCAGGATCACGGATAGAGGAGGCTTGCTCGCCATCGATCTCGCGCCGTTTACCAAACATATTAATAGCGTAATTAACCTCGCGCGCAATCACGCGGCCGTAAGGCTGCGCGCGGGAGAGCGAGCGCGAGGTGTAACGCGCGATAAATTACGATGATTTACGGCGACCCGTTGATCACGCGAGGTAATCCATTTCCTTAATTGCCGGGCGGCGTCTGTTGCGCTCGAGCAACCCGGGAAAAGATAAAGCGACAAGTCGCGAAAGTAACAGCGATCGGCGGCGTCGCCTCTCGACGATCCAGGCTACCGTTCGACTGCTCGATTAATGCTTCGATCCTGATCCTGTCGTTAATCGATAATCCTGCTCCCGAAGATGATCCTCGGAAGACTTTCGTATTGAAAGCATTAGCTACCGTTGGCGCAGGCACAATGACGGCCGTATATTACTTAAAGCCGCTGTTTTGTTCAGACTTTAATGAGCTACGTATTCCGAGAATTAATGATTCAGACAGCGGATCTTTAGACTGCGAAATCAAAATTGTCTGAGTCACCTCCGAGGCGTAGCCTGTTCTTTCTTCAACGATTTTAATATGTTCGAAATAATGGGACGATATTTTCAGTTTCTTTAAATCTGTTCACTGTTCTATAGTTATACCTACTCATTTTTGCCATAAATGCATAAAACCCGCAGTCTAGTAACGATATTCATTCTTCGCACTCGAAGCCATTTTAACTCGAAATCGAAAATAAATTTTCCGATCTACAGTATTTTTCATTTTGCATATCTTAGCGCATGTTATGCATATAAATTCGAATATTGTGACTCGTACCAACTGTTACACTTTCAGCAGTTTATTAAATATAAACGTAGATAGTGTCGAAATTATTTTGGAACGTGACGTAACAATTTCTAGCGGCGCCTCGGACCCACCGTACGAGTGCGAAGGACTGAAAAAACAAACAGAAAAAAGACTTGCTTTCAAAACTAGAAAAGGCTATATGTTAGGATTTATGGTTGTACTGTTAAAATTTTCTCGGACAGGCCGACTAACTAACGTTTGACCGCAAGATAAACAAATAAAGCTAACAGAGCTTTTTAAAAGACAGAATTGGAATTGTTCCAAGCACGACTAGATCCGTCCTGACACTTAAGCAATCATTTTTGTTCGCATATCTTCGAACCAATACCTTCGAGATCAACGTTAATCTCCTCATTGGATCGTATACAGATAGTTCAGTGATTTAAAGTAGTTTGCAATCCTGAGTCGAGATGGAACCAAGCCCAGCCATCCGAGGGTTAAATATATGGCGGCCACAGTGGCGTTTCTAAAATACAGTGACCGAAGCCTGGACTCTGGAGAGGAGTCTTTCCTGGTCGAACCGCGTGTCCCTTAAAAATAGACGCGCATCGATGACGGATCCGAACACCGGCGGATCTTGGATCATCCGGGCCGCGTCTCGGTCTCGATTGCGTCCGGACAGCGGCAAGCCGTTTCCGAGACGCGAGACGTACGCGATTAAAGTTCGGTTGGATCGAACGATGGTATTTTCTCTGCGTGGAGAGCGTAATTTTAGACGTGATCGTTTAAGAGGATATTACGCGTTGCAGGTGAATAGCGGCTCACCGGCGGAAGCAGCTGGCTTGAAGGCCGGCGACGCAGTAATCAGGGTGAACAGCACCGAAATGTACAATCTGAGGCACAAGGACGCGCAGGACGTGATCGTCAGAGCCGGCAACAATTTCGAGATCACCGTACAAAGGTAGACTGCCATTAACATTCTTCCCTCTTTTTTGCCTCCGCCCTTTTACCACGACGATTGTGAACGCGCGCGACCACGGAGCCTATGAGATTGCATTTAATGCCGCGACCCTCTAGGACCCACGAAGTCCGTAAAATTCTATTTACGATCGCGACCCTGTACCTCGACGATCATCGACGAGAAAGGGCTATAGCGATATTGAATTTACCGTCGTGCCGACAGAGGTGGAGGCACATGGAAGCCGCACGTGACGCCTCTGGGTTCCAGCATGCCGTCGCCGTCGCCCACCTCGATGGGCAACATTACTCCAGTTACGAAGACGTCGTTGGCAGCGAAGAAACAGGATGGATCGCACATCGGCAGCGGCCACAACTTCAGTCCAAAACCATTCGTTAGTGTCAATTAGCGAAATGAATCGAGGAATCTCAGCCTTGCTCCAAATTCTTTCTCTCTCCCTCTCTCTCTCTCTCTCTCTCTCTCTCCTTCTCTCTCTTTCTCTTTGTAGCCTACCTGCGACACATTTTCCTCTTAGTATTTCTATTTATGGCTACGCATAATTCAATAAGAACCTGTCGCTTTTACGCTCACCCGATAGACCAAATGAACGTAGCCCCGAGAAGGTAATCGGTCGCTCGTGTTGCAGTTGAACGGAACCGGCGACTCCATCAAGTCCATCGTGAATAAACAATACAACAGTCCTGTGGGGATCTACAGCGAGGAAACCATCGCGGAGACGCTCTCCGCGCAGGCTGAGGTCCTGGCCGGTGGTGTCCTCGGGTAAAATTGTGCTGTTCAGCGACCACCTGGAAAGAAATATCCCCCGGGTTAAACTGACGTTCTCTATCGTTTTCAGGGTGAACTTCAAAAAGAACGAGAAGAATTACAACGCCGAGAACAGCGAGGTATTCAAGATGGTCCAGGAAGCGGACAAGGAACCAAAGACACCGGAGCCTGGTTAGTACTCGCATACATCATCCACTTGCTCCAGTCTTGCCTCGATAACTGTCGCAGAGTTTTCGCGAGTCTCGAAGGCTCGCGGAGAATGGCGAAACGCGACAGCAATCGAGGCATCTTTGTATCGCGTTACGGTAGTACAGTGTTTCGCGTAGACGCAGTCAAAAGAATCACTGGAGAGTTCTCCTCGCTGGCCGGTTGCGTTAAAAGGGAAGCGTTGCTCGACGAGAACGAAACGGAAGAGCGGTTCTCGGCCGGAAATCGTAATTGAGACGCGGCGAGCCAAGAGAGTACGACGGGTCGCTCTCCAGTGATTTTTTCCGTGGATCAGCTGGCTCGAAAGACGCCGGTCTTTTCGGTACGATAACTTCTTTGCGAAATAGCGGAGCCCACTGCACAGAGCGGCGTGATTACGCCGTCGTCGCCGGCCCTGGCAGGACTGAGGCCGGTATCCTCGCCGGAAACCAAGCAGTACCAGCAGCAGCAGCAGCAGCAGCAACAGCAGCAACAGCAACAACAGCAGCCCTCGACGCCGCAATCGAGCCTGCCGCCTGGACAGAACATTTGTGCCGAATGCGAGAGGCTCATCGTGTAAGTTGACGAGGCCGGATCGCGTCCTCGGCCGTTACCTCGTTTCTTTCAGCCGTCGACAGTTACGAGACAGGGAAATCGGAGCGTTCCTTCTTCGGCTCCTCGAAGAGCAACGAGGCGAGCCTCTCTAGCGTCGCGGATATTCCCATTCGAATCGGATCTCGGTGATACGCTCTGTTTTTCTGAAATCGTTAAACCGCCGGACCGGCAAATCGAACGACCGAAGCTTCGAGGATCGGAAGACTCGTAATGGGAACCGAAGATCCGGTTCGGCCGGGGACGTCCTCGAACGCGGAGGACGAGAGATGACAGAGACCAAACCCGTAGGGGATAGCTGGTTGCTCGCGTCTATCAAAAAGTTGTAGCCGGTGTCCAGTCGAGTCACAGATCGGTTTTCTCTACTTCCATGTCGTAGTTCATCCGAGAACAGAGTTTTACTCGTCGGTGAGCCACGCGGTTGGCGGAAGGGCCACCTCGCCGAGGTCACCCACGCCTCTATTCCATGCGCTCCACGGCACTCCGGCCTTCAATTCCAATGAAAATTCGTGGATACGTGCGCCGCAACGACAGGACTCCTCCCCATCTTCGGACAGCTCGATCGTCCGTTGTAGCAACTGTGACCGAGTGATCGTGTAACTATTTTCCACGTGAAATCGCCTCTTCTATCCCCACGTCTCTTTTTTTTTTGCCAGCCCGGTCGTTGATCGATCGGGGTATCTGTTAGCTTGCCGACGATTTCTATCCGCCGCTTCTGTCAGACTGTGTCCCGTGAACGAACGTACGGATCATTGAGAGTGATCACTGCGACGCGTGGGTGGGAACGAGCCCGCGACTCCGAGACGTCAACGCGATCTCGATCCACGGAAAGCTCGATCGACCCTTATCACCTCGATAAATCAGATATGATCTGTCTAGGAGAGACGAACTTTAAAAAACGACAGCGTTAAAAACGTAACTAGCGCGCCACAGACCGATGGAGGAGCAGCTATTTATTTGAACGATAACATCACCTTTGGAAATATCCGAGTTACGACGAGACTTGGAAGCCATTCTCCCATTAAAATATTCACGCCTGTAAAATTAACGACGTGGAACGAGCATTTACCGAATAGCCACAATTTGATCTCTGCTGAACCTGCAGCATCACTAAACCAACTCTCTGAAACTCCAAATCATTGCGTTTTGTAGGTGATTTTAACGCCCGTGGCGCATTATAGATCTGGTATAAAAGTCATCTGGACAGCAGATGTAGCCGTACGTTCAAATAACATAATCCACTTACTTAACAACAATAAGTTGAATTGCCGCAGAATTGAAGTGATAAGGGTTGACTTTATCGTTCGGAGGATGTAGATGATAAATCGATTGACGAGTCACGGATCTCGTTCCCAGCGAGAAACAGTACGAACGCGGAATCGTGGCTCGATTGTCGTAGAATCGCCTGGTATCATTCGTCGAACGCTTTGATCGAGACGAAAACGTCCGCACCACGCATACCCCTTCATCGAGCGACCGTAGATCGATCGACCGAGCCGGTGTCAGGTGTGCTCTGTCGATCGAGAAGGGGGATTGCCGATGTGCTATCTTTCTACGCGTGTTGCACGGTTTTCCTGCTCTGTGTTTGCGTCGAAGCACCAACCCTCTCTGTCGCCTCTGTCGTCGGTATCGCTTCGTCGGTGAAGGACGGCTCCCCATCATCTGACTGGATTTCCATCATCCTCAGGGAGCCGTGCGCCGATCACTCGCACTCGCACTCGCACTCGCACTGGTGCAAGCTTCTCTCGCCTCTCATCTCGCGAGACGTTCTCTCATTCTCTACACATTTTTTCACTCTCCCCTTCTTTCTCTCACGATATCTTTCTCTTCCTTTCTGTCTCTCTCTCTCTCTCTCTCTCTCACTTTCTTTCTCTCTCTCTTTCTCTATGTCTTCAATCTTTTCATTCTTCCATCTCGATCGCAATTCTTCAACATCATTCGGTGTGGTAATCGTCGAACATGCTCTCGCGAGAGCAACGTAGAACATGCTTTCGGTGTTGTGAATTTTTGACTTTTTCCACTGTTTTCCAGTACCATTTTTTTGTCGTTTTGATATGTCGATGTGATGCTTTTTGTATTTTTTTCCCCGGACACTGTATTTTCACACCGTTTTTTCACCGCGGAGATCAGATTTTTTCGCTCGGGAGACATTCGTTCGCTCATCGGCGTTGGGATTTTGTCCGAAGGGATTTTGTTTCGACCAGATCGAACTGTGCCTACGCTCTCGGAGAAAAGTGTTCGATCGAACAAGTCAAGCGCCTGTAACAGTGAGAAAAATTTGGCAGCGGTTCGTGGAAGAACTTGCCCGTCTTCAAGCGTTTTGGCAACCGTCCTCGTCGTTCGATCGTCGAAAAGCGTTTTATTCTACGCGACGCTACTTAAATCTTTCGCGCTTGTTCTTGTCGATCGAACCTCTTCCGACGTGAGCGATGCATTACACACCGCCGTTTCACGTACATCCACACCAAAGTAGCGTTCTCGGCCTCCGTCGTCGAGGTGGCGAGAGTTCTTCTATCCGCTATCATCGAATAGGACGAAAACTCATGACACTCTGTCCACTTGTCGGGAAAGCAACAGCGAGCGAAGGGACTGAAACGATCCGCCTTTTTTCCGCAGGGGTGTCTTCGTTAGGATCAAGGAGAAGAACCTGCACGTGGAGTGCTTCAAATGCTCGACCTGCGGCACCTCCCTGAAGAACGTCGGCTACTACAACATCAACAACAAATTGTACTGCGACATTCACGCGAAGCTGGTCGCCAGGCAAAACGCACCTGCTGGCATGGTTCCAATCACCGTGCCGCCGTGAGTATTCGAGCCCTCGTTGCTCCTACGCCTGAAACAATAATCCCGTTTGAAACACTAACGAAGATAAGCAAACCGTGGCGAACGTAGGCGAGCCGTTAAGCCGGCAATTAAAGACTTACCGGAAATTCCACGGGAATGGAACGGAACGGATTGCGCGAGCGCGAGAACCGATGGGAATAACGCGTGACAACCGCCAATAAAAATCCAATGAAATTTCCAGAGGCGGAAGGGCTCCTGCCAGCACGATTTCCGCTGCATTGGCGAACGCGCCGCTCTCTCCACCCCTGAGCAACCACGCGTCCTCGCCGCTGCCATTCTCTGTGAGTATCCTCCAAACAGTACTAACTTCGACTCTGCTTTCGTCGTGTTCAGCATAGAGAGTATCGCTTTGCGTTGCCCCTGCCTGAAAATCACATTTGCTACATTCCACTGGCTTTGGAAAGTCTCCAATTTTCGACTGGAAACTCGCAGTTTCTACAAATACGTTCGACCATTCTTCCTTTTTATTTTTTCTTTGTGATCGACTCTAACGCACATTCCTTGAACTTTGACGTACGATTTCTTTAGTCGCCCCAGCGAGACTTTCCGGAGCCACGGTATAAAAATTTCATTCGAGCCGCGGTACTATTTCGATTCGAGCTTTCGATTTCCGAGTGCCAATTGGCTGCTTTCGATGGAACTCCTGAACTTTGTACGGCGAGGAAATTATCGAATGGCTTGCATAATCTTCACCTTGAACAGTGGTGTAAATATTATGTAATGCGCGTCGGTAATAGCTCCTTATAATTAGCACGCCGTGCGAACACCTTTCGGCCAAGCATACACTCAGATTTTGAAGAATTAGTAACGGAAGCTGATGTGTACTCACGCGATGTTTAATCCTGAAACGCTGACGCTACGTTTTGCGGGACGAATAAGAACCGGAATCGCAGGGAGAGAATGAGAGAGAGAGAGAGGGAGGGAGGGAGAGATTGCTAAGATGAGCAGCCTTAACTCGTGTGTGGCCTCCGCTTTGCACTAATCGCTTTTCCAGGCTTACAATCGCTCGAGTCCAGATTACGGATCCCCGAATCTTCAAGTATCGTCCCCGAATAGGAACGGCTGCATCACGAACGGCGAGTGCCACTGGGAATCGAAAACGTTTACGAGCACGATCACCATACAGACCGGTTGCACAGAGGTTGGCTGAACCCGTTGTAAACCTACGAACCTTCGAACCGAATCGAATTCGCGTTGCCGTCGATTTTCCATGTCGCATAGCAGTCGCGCTTACGTGTCCGGTCGACCGGTTGGCCAATTGATACGCGACGAGCAAGATTGACAGGGATTTAATCTCGTTCGAACACGTATCGTAACGAGAACGCGAGCTAAACCGATAAACAGCCAGATAGATGGATAGAGAGAGAGATAGAGAGAGAGAGAGAGAGAGAGAGAGAGAGAGAGTGAGTGAAAGATAGAATGAAAGAGAGGATGAGTGAATGATAGNAAGTAGCGTTCTCGGCCTCCGTCGTCGAGGTGGCGAGAGTTCTTCTATCCGCTATCATCGAATAGGACGAAAACTCATGACACTCTGTCCACTTGTCGGGAAAGCAACAGCGAGCGAAGGGACTGAAACGATCCGCCTTTTTTCCGCAGGGGTGTCTTCGTTAGGATCAAGGAGAAGAACCTGCACGTGGAGTGCTTCAAATGCTCGACCTGCGGCACCTCCCTGAAGAACGTCGGCTACTACAACATCAACAACAAATTGTACTGCGACATTCACGCGAAGCTGGTCGCCAGGCAAAACGCACCTGCTGGCATGGTTCCAATCACCGTGCCGCCGTGAGTATTCGAGCCCTCGTTGCTCCTACGCCTGAAACAATAATCCCGTTTGAAACACTAACGAAGATAAGCAAACCGTGGCGAACGTAGGCGAGCCGTTAAGCCGGCAATTAAAGACTTACCGGAAATTCCACGGGAATGGAACGGAACGGATTGCGCGAGCGCGAGAACCGATGGGAATAACGCGTGACAACCGCCAATAAAAATCCAATGAAATTTCCAGAGGCGGAAGGGCTCCTGCCAGCACGATTTCCGCTGCATTGGCGAACGCGCCGCTCTCTCCACCCCTGAGCAACCACGCGTCCTCGCCGCTGCCATTCTCTGTGAGTATCCTCCAAACAGTACTAACTTCGACTCTGCTTTCGTCGTGTTCAGCATAGAGAGTATCGCTTTGCGTTGCCCCTGCCTGAAAATCACATTTGCTACATTCCACTGGCTTTGGAAAGTCTCCAATTTTCGACTGGAAACTCGCAGTTTCTACAAATACGTTCGACCATTCTTCCTTTTTATTTTTTCTTTGTGATCGACTCTAACGCACATTCCTTGAACTTTGACGTACGATTTCTTTAGTCGCCCCAGCGAGACTTTCCGGAGCCACGGTATAAAAATTTCATTCGAGCCGCGGTACTATTTCGATTCGAGCTTTCGATTTCCGAGTGCCAATTGGCTGCTTTCGATGGAACTCCTGAACTTTGTACGGCGAGGAAATTATCGAATGGCTTGCATAATCTTCACCTTGAACAGTGGTGTAAATATTATGTAATGCGCGTCGGTAATAGCTCCTTATAATTAGCACGCCGTGCGAACACCTTTCGGCCAAGCATACACTCAGATTTTGAAGAATTAGTAACGGAAGCTGATGTGTACTCACGCGATGTTTAATCCTGAAACGCTGACGCTACGTTTTGCGGGACGAATAAGAACCGGAATCGCAGGGAGAGAATGAGAGAGAGAGAGAGGGAGGGAGGGAGAGATTGCTAAGATGAGCAGCCTTAACTCGTGTGTGGCCTCCGCTTTGCACTAATCGCTTTTCCAGGCTTACAATCGCTCGAGTCCAGATTACGGATCCCCGAATCTTCAAGTATCGTCCCCGAATAGGAACGGCTGCATCACGAACGGCGAGTGCCACTGGGAATCGAAAACGTTTACGAGCACGATCACCATACAGACCGGTTGCACAGAGGTTGGCTGAACCCGTTGTAAACCTACGAACCTTCGAACCGAATCGAATTCGCGTTGCCGTCGATTTTCCATGTCGCATAGCAGTCGCGCTTACGTGTCCGGTCGACCGGTTGGCCAATTGATACGCGACGAGCAAGATTGACAGGGATTTAATCTCGTTCGAACACGTATCGTAACGAGAACGCGAGCTAAACCGATAAACAGCCAGATAGATGGATAGAGAGAGAGATAGAGAGAGAGAGAGAGAGAGAGAGAGAGAGAGAGTGAGTGAAAGATAGAATGAAAGAGAGGATGAGTGAATGATAGAGAGAAAGAGAAAGACGCAGGAAACGAGAAGGGAGGAAAAAGTTGCGACAGGCGGCGAATGAATCGGTGTCATCGTTATGATATTCGACCGGTTCGTCCTTCGGATCCGCGGACTTCCTCCTCGTTGACTCGTCGGAGAAATCGGTCCATCGGCTGGCAATCTTGATCGTTGGTTCGTCTTTGTCATCCTATTTTTCGAACCGGTGACTAATTAGCCTGGCGCGATCGGGAGCGTGCGTGTTGCCGGCGCGGTCGGCTTCTCCCCGAATCTCTCCCCCTTTTTAATTGCCACCGCCACGTGACATCGTTCTGTCGTTTTATGCATTGCAGCCCACCCGCCTTGGCACATCGCCCGTCGAACCACCCAGTTTCCGATCAGTCCAGGTAATGTCCCAACGCGGCCCAGCCCGGCCCGTCTTAAGCCTCTCGCAACTCGAAACCTTACACTCCGTAAGGTACGTCCTTACCGATCCGATGATAATCGCGCGCACCGCGGTCCCGCTGATTTGAACACCAGACTATGTTCTCCGGAAAAGTACGTTGAATCTCGCCTGCCTCGGTCGCGTCCTCCGCATCCCGAATTCGCGAGCCTCGTCCGATCGGCGGACCATTATTCCCGGATAATCCGAACGAGTGCACGGAACTCGAGATCCCGGTGGTGTCAGTGAAATTCGAGCATGTCCAAGGCAGCGGAGCGAGCGAGCGAGCGAGCGGGCGCCTAGTCTCGTCGTCTCTTCGGGCCGACCGCTTAACGAACTCGCGTTTGTGTCTGTGTTTTTCTCATTGTCGGAATGCGATGCACGCAGTATGCGTTCTACCTTTCTTTACTTTTTTTGCCTTCGACGGTCTCGTCAGGCCTAACGGGACACGCAACACGGAGAATAACCAAGTATTTTGTACCGCACACAGGCGCCAGCCTCGAACAACCTGATTGGTCCGAAGCCGTTCGGAGGATCGAGCACTCTGCCGTCGAACCTGTCGTCGCCTCCTCCGCTGATCAACTCGGGGAGCAGCACTCTGCCGCGACCTCAGAGTCAGACCGTGACTGGTAAGTTCGCCTCTACGTGGAGGATAACGATCCGCCAACGCGCGGAGAATCCCGCGGAATTATCCCGCGAGCAGACCGCGCGAATTTCGGTGTCGAGATCGGACGCGGAAAAAATCGCCTCTCCCATCCGCGCAATCGGCGTTACATAATTTGCGATCGTCTTATGCAACCTCGTTGACCCCTTCGTCGGGGATCCGAGCAGGGCTCTCAAACGCCAGAGAAACAAGACTGCAAAAGCGACCCGGAGTTTTCATCCTACGGTATCCGCCGAATTGATGGCAATCGATCGGGCAGGACTCCTACCCGAAAGGTTGTGAGGTAGTGAGAATTGAACCGTAGGAGAGAATTTCCATTGGTACACGCGAGATCTAGTTTAAAAGGCTCGTAGAACAAACGCCGAAGTACCAGGTGCTCAGACCTCGTTTGGGGCATGCACGAAATTCCTTGTCGCGACGCGATGCGACGACCAATCACCGGGATAATTACGACAGGCACGCCAGTGTCTTCTCGGCTCGCGGTTCACGGTTTCGCGGTTCGCGGTTCTCGGTTCCCGGTCGCCGGGAAGTAGAAGAGCAGAAAATCGCGGGGCCGTATAAATCCGCGTGCCGACGACAAGCGGAGAGCATGAGTTTTTCGTGGTATCTAGAGGAACGATCTCCGCTCGATCGCGTATAATCCTGACGGCGAACCAGTCTATTATCCTTGGCCTCACTTTGCTCTTCGATTGTTGCAAATAGGTCTGATCTCCGCCCTGGCAAAGCCAAAAAGCGCACCCTTCACAGGTATGGCGAATAGATACGAGCCTGTTGACCGAGTTTCGAGCTTTGGCTAATATCATGCTCCATTTGGCTTGCGTCCTCGCATACTTTTTTTCTTTTCATCGACTCGCACCTCCCTTCGTCATCGATCTCGTTCCCGTTTCACGGTGCGCCCACGCGATCCAACGGGGACGATTCTTTTCGATCGTAGATCGCAGATCAGCCGGCGCGCGCGCGTTTACTCCAAGTTCGCAAAGCTCTCTTGTCGAACTTGCCACTCGCATCCGGTCGTCGATCCTCGCGACGTGTCGACGGCGGGTTCCGAGAGCTGCGAGACACACATATATTCGCATGCCATTCTCATCATTCTCGATCACGATCGCATAGCGAATCGGGGAAACGGTGATGCACGCTTCGACGATGATTATTTATACTCCGCGGACGTATCGAGCAACGATGATGCGGACCGATCGAAACGAAATTGGAACGATTCGGTCGAGACCCGGATAGCGAATTAATGAATCGGGTCCGCATCGAGAGCTTACGTAACCGCAGAGAGGACACGTCGAGTACAAAAATATACCCGCGTGTTTGTATTTTGTTCTCCTCACCTCTCGGTGTGTTCCTCTTTCTCTTCTTCGAGTAACGAGAGCATGTTATCTTTCTTTCCCCCGTTTCATTTCACGAACATCTGAAACCACGCGCGCAACGTTAAAACGATCTCGCACGCATATAAGCACAGACATGGGAATCGAATACGTGCTTCGATCAGCCAAAAGCATTACCTTTCCTGGGCATAATTTTTTCTTTTCTTATCTTTTTTCAGCCGGTCCATCTTTCAACCCGAAACCCAGACCTTTCTCCCTCACGTTCGCATGAATCGGTAGCTCTCGACTGCGCCGTCGTCGTCGTCCTTGTGCTGACAGCCGAATCGAACGATATCCGATTATATCTATATATGACAATTATTATATTCAACGTTCACGATCTCCCCTCGCGCTGTCTCGAACATCGTGATTCGGTGAGCGACGACTCCTGAAACGTTCTCAGAGTTCCTCGACGCCAGGATTACTCGACTGGTCGAAACGACCGATTCCATATTTCATTCATTCATTCATTCTTTCGTTCGTTCGTTCGTTCGTTCAATCGTTCGTTCGCTCGTTCGTTCGTTCGTCTATCCATCGTTATATCAGATATATTACAAGTCGAACCTTTAACGAGCGAGTACTTCGATCAAAAGTATCCTATTTTCTGCGTAGAAGAACGTCTATTTAGTGGAAGAGATCGATCGCGAACCGGCCGTTCCGGCCGTCCGGTAATTCCAGCGTGACTTATTTATTCGTCGAAGCCGAATCACGTGTTTCGGGATCGGTAACGTCGTGAACCATATCGACAAGTGTTTCCTCGAAGAGTGTTGAGAGATTTGAAGTGGAATTACGAAATAAAGCGACAGCCAAGCCGAGCAAGCTCTTCGCTCGATACATGTTGTTCCTTTTCTCCAATTTCATGTGACAACGCGACGCACACGTCTTCAAGTTCCTCCGAAGTGTAATCGCGGCAGACCGAGCCGCAGAAAGTTCGCTAAACAGATGAAAATAATCCGCTGCCTCCCTCGATTTCTCGCGTCGTCGGAGCTTCCGAGGGGAACTCGGGGTCGTCGAGATGGCTAAAACGCTCGGAGGGCTCGTGGCCATAATTTCCGTAGCCTGCGTTTCATGATCAATGATTCACCGAGAAGTGCGACTGCTCACTCGTTAACGCTTGCCACTGCCAAGAACGCTCGTCGATCGACCGTCAATCGACCGTCAACCGACCGCCAACCATGCGTCAACGAGCTTCCGCTTCTCCGTTTGCTTTCTGTCCGTTCGTTCAGAGCCAGTTGCCTCCGCGACGTTCACTACCGTTTAATCGCTCTCTTTCTTTTAAGTTGCGCTTCTTTTCATTTAGCGCCCTGGACGTGCCCGCGACCCACCCCGATCTGAAACACGACGACAGATGTCTAGATTAAGCTAGAGAGCAGAGACGCGTATAGAGATTAGGATCGCGGGCACGAGCCGCTCAATGTGCTTCTTACTCACGGCTGATTTCTTTGTTTTTTTTTTCGTTCTTTCTAACTCACCCCTACGACCCAACATACCCGTCTTGTCTGTCGTCGAAACGTCCGTGTCGCTGCACGCCTTACAAAAATGTTTTCTGTGTTTCTGTGTTCGTGTTCGTTGTATGTTCGGCCCGCTTTCGATCGTATCCACCGTCGCTCGCTTATCCCCGACCCCCTGTCCCCTGTCGAACGACCACGTGATACCGCCCGATCCCAGAAAACACGACAGAGACCCACGAAAAGTCCTATTATTACGAGCTGGTCGAGGAGGAGACCAAGACCGAGCGCCGACCGAGTTCGGTCAAGTCGAAAAGCCTCTCTTGGCCACCGCCGAAACCGATCGAGGAGATCACCTATCCCACCGCCAGTCCTTTGTACATCGATCCGAATCCCGCCCTCGACAGAAGGGGTAAACCGGCGGTCAGAGAGAAGAAGGCCTGCATCGAGGCCTGCGAGCGGGCCTTGAACAAGAAGAGGACCGAGAGCACCGACCAAGAGGTCGAGAGAGTGACCAGGCATTGGGGTAGCTTCCAGTACAATCCGATGGAACGGATCAGCTGCCCGGGGCCAGTTTACAGAAAGGTCGAGCTGGTGGAGACCTCCTCCTCCGCCGAGAGGCAGTCCAGAGGCGAGATCACCTCGAGGCCCAGCTCGACCGACAGCGTCAGGAGATCGTTGACGCCCACGAGGATCGTCCAGCCGATTCCGAAGCCTTGGACGGCTACCGTGACAAGCGGCGGCAACCTCTACGAGCAGAGCTACGGGGCCGAGCCGCCCAAGGTCTGCAAGCAGTTCCACCAGAAGGAGATCTGCCAGCGCGAGCGAATATGCGAGAGGAACCAGCCGTTCCGCGAGGAGCATCGCTCTTACACCTCGAAAGTCTGCCGCAGGGAGCAAACCATCTGCCAAAAGCCGCCCCTGCCGACGCCGCCGGCGATCAAGCAGGAGGAAGCCAAGGAGGAGATCACCGAGATCGACCAGGAGACCACCGATCTTAGACCAGCGGACGAAATCGCTGGCGAGGACGAAGGGGGCGTCGGCGGGGAGCACGACTTCGTCACCGAGACCTCGGAGGAGGACGTCGACGGGATGCACGTGAAGAAGACGATGACCTTCGAGAAGACCATAGAGAAGATCCCGTCGCCGGCAAGACCTTCCACCCCCATGATCGAGGACACCGAGGAGAGCTACACGAGAACCACCGCGACCCACGTCGAGAAAGAATCGAAAGGAACCGAAGAAAAGACGGTGGTCGAGTCCAAGGAGGTGGTCACGACCGCGGTGGACGTGACGCAGATGCTCGAGAAGGCCAAGCAGGAGGAGGAGGAGAGAAAGAGAGAGGAGGAGGAGGAGGAAAGGAGAAAGCAGGAGGAAGAGGAGAGAAAGAAGCGAGAGGAGGAGGAGCAGAGGCGAAGACGCGAGGAGGAAGAGCGTAGAAGGCAGGAGGAGGAGGAGGAACGAAGCAGCAAACACGTCACCTTCGATGAGGAAGTGGTCGAAGAGGTTCGGGAACAGCCTCTTGGAAGAACAGTGGTGCGCGAGGAGAGGGTCACGGAGGAGGAGACCGACACGCCGGGTCGCAAAAAGCTGGTCAAGGAGACCTACGAAGAGATCACGGAGGAGGTTCTGGTCCAGGAGCGCGTCCGGAGAAAGGAGGTCGAAGACGAGCGCAGGAAGAGCTTGCGGGAGCAGGTGGAGGTTCACCAGAGTTTGAGAGACCAGCAGTCGTCCAGGTCTAAGCAGGTGTGCAGCAAGTATCCGCCGACGCAGGAAGTCATGGAGTCGAACAAGAAGCACGTGCAGTTCGTGAAGCAGACCGACACCGGCCCGAAACCGATTCCCCATTCCGCCATCCAGAACTCCACGCCGAAGGAGTGGAAGTCCGAGATGGTGAACGCGCTGACCACCGCGCCCGACCGACCCTTCACGCCTGCCAGCACGTCCACCAGCGTGAAGGAAGTTTACACGGAAGAGACTATATACCTGGATCACAGATGTAAACCGAAGCCGCCGCCGATAGAGCCAAGACCCATCTCGCCGTTCCAGCAGGCGCTTATGATCGCTCCAGAGCGTCCCTACACTCCTCTGAGTAGGGAGATCGGACCGGAAGACAGGAAAGTGGGAAGTCGGCCCGGGACGCCGTCGCTCTACAGCGACAGGGGCGGCTGCCATCTTCCGCCGGCCGACATCCTTTACGGCGAAGGTAGGGCGAAGGACCCTGGACCGCCTCCGTCTCCGGTGAAGCCTCGACCTTTGCCGACTCCGCCGCCAGACTTCAAGCTGAGAGACTGCTCGGTGTCGCCTCGACCGCCGACGCCCAGCAGCAAGTGCATCACCGCCGCCCTGAAGAAGCCGGACACCATCCCCAGCTACCAAAAGTACCTGGTAGCCACGAAGAAGACCGCGGTGGAGGGCCACACGTACACGCCGGCTAGCAGAACTCCGACGCCCACGCCAGGAAGATCGAAATCGCCGGCTCCGGGACCACCCACCCCGCCACCTTGCTACGCGAAGGCGCAGGCTCCTCGAATCAGAGAGGACCCTCCACCGAAACGGTCCGCCGTGCACTTCCCCACGAAGAAGAGCGTTTCTTACAAGGTCGACGAGGACACCGACGAAGGGCACAGACACGCGGAGTACGCGGCCACCAAAACAGTGGACTTCGACGAGAAGCAGACCGACGACGTGGTCAGCGGACCCACGGACGCTGTCCACGCACAGTTCCAAGAGAAGCGCTTCATGACCAGCGAGGAGACCTGCGAGAAGAAGCAGGCGGTAGTGAAGAAATCGCTGCAGGTCGTCGAAGACTTCGAGAGGTGCGAGAAAAGAGGTCTGGCGAAGCCGCTACCGGAGCCGAAAGAACAGTCGCCGCAGGGCGTGTGCGCGATCGGCAGGACGAGCCCTTCGAAGCCTTCGCTTCCGTGTCCTTTGGCCTCGAAGACGTCGGCCAGTTCGGCGCAGCCAATCTACACCAGCTCGACGGAAGTGCGCCACGTAAGCTACGGCGCTCCTCCCGCTTCGAAACCTTGCCCGGACACCGGATTGACCATCTTGCCCTGCAAAGCGACCTCTGACCAGGGTACCAAGGCCGGAGTAGTGGTGGTTCCCTGCGAAGTGCCAAATCCTTGCTGCCAGAAATCAGGAGTCTGCGTGGTGCCGACCGCGGATCGCGCCGGAGTATGCGTCTCGCCCTGCTTCGGCACCTCCGGGGGTTCCTGCGGCCAACCTTCGGGCCGCTGCGGTCGAGAATCCTCCTGCGACGTTGAAATCCCGAAGTGCCCCGACACCGGGGTCTGCGTGACGCCCTGCGAGGACGGCTCCGTTTGCGTCGCGCCCTGCTCCAAGGCCGGTTTACCCCCGTCGCTGAAGAAGCTACCCTTCCCGCAGATCCCGTTCCCCTACGAGCAACCGGAACAAACCACGGTCCAACCTCCTTCCTATCCGCAGAAAAGCTCCTTCGAGCCGATCCACAAGCCACGCACTAATCTGAGTGGGCAGCTCGCGCGACTGACCTGCAAAACTGCCAACAAAGTACCCACCGTTCAGCTGTACAAGCCCCAGGCTCAGGCTCAGCCCCAGTCTCAGTGCCAGGCACAGTCCGACACGTGCCAGACACGGAGCTGCAGCGAGACCAAGAGCTACTCTAGCAAGACCCAAAGCTCTTATCGCTCCACCCAGACCCGCTGTCAGTCGGGCAGTCAGTGTTCGATCAACACCCGCTGTCAATCCGGGAGTCGATGCGAGACCCAGAATGACTGCCAGGACGGTGCCCACTGTTCTCCCTCTAGCAATACCCAAAGTTTAGTAGACCCACCAAATTTGTCATCCCACCCGGATCTAGGTACCGGAGTCGGTGGCCTCGGTGGTGCCGGGTCGAAGAGCGGAACCTTCGCCGGCAGCAGCGCGCCTAAACGCGGACGGGGCATCCTGAATCAAGCAGGCGGACCGGGATCGCGAGTGCCCCTCTGCGCTCATTGCAACTCTTACGTCAGGTACTCTCGCCGTTGCTCGTCAACCGTGTGTGCCTTTATTCTCTTCTCTTATTTTGTCTTCTACTTCTTGTTTCGCCGTTTGCAATGTGCTCGTTGTTTTCAACCCGTCTCGCTCCTCTTCCCTGGCCTCCCCCGTCCCGTCCCGTTTGTTGCTCGCACGATCGCAATATCGCGATCCGTTTCAGACGACGAGGAGGAGCCGAAAGATCGGGGCGATCTCGCGTCGCCGGGGATCGCTCGAGAACGTGCACCGATCACGTTTCTGTTTTGTTGTTGCCCAAATTAATACGATAACTGTACGATGTTTTCTGTTTGCGGCGTGATTAACAGTGTTTGCACGATGTTAACAGCTAACGGGGAAAATATTAACCGCAAGAGAAACGGTCTCCTCGTAAAGCCGGTCTGCTGTAGAAACGACAAACAGTGCACAAGGTTTGTAATCCAATTCGTAAACGAATCGATTCTACACGAGATCGTAAAAGCAGAGACACACTTTTAACCGCACTTGCCTGAACTTTTCTAAACTAGTCTGCCGAAGTATTTCCGAGCCGTGCGATCACGGAAAGAATGTGTTCTGTGTCTGTTGATTGTCGTTTTGTCCTGCTTGGATCTGCTTTCGCGCCGAATCAATCCGCGGAGGACGAGCCGCGGATAATAACGCTGTTTGTTGCGCGTGCCTCAGGGGACCGTTCATCACCGCGCTCGGACAGATATGGTGTCCCGAGCACTTCGTTTGCGTGAACACGCAATGCCGTCGACCCCTTCAGGACATCGGGTTCGTCGAGGAGAAGGGACAACTCTACTGCGAGTACTGTTTCGAACGATTCATCGCGCCCAGCTGCAACAAATGCAACAACAAGATCAAAGGCGTGAGTACTCCGTGAGATCTAGGGGGGGAAAAAGGGAGTCTCGAGTAGAGAATTTTCCGAGTACCGCTGTTTCACCGCTGTTCCAGGACTGCCTGAACGCGATTGGAAAGCACTTCCACCCTGAATGCTTCAAGTGCACGTATTGCGGCAAACTGTTCGGCAACAGCCCGTTCTTCCTCGAAGAAGGACTGCCCTACTGCGAAGCCGGTTGGTTCGATACACCCTAAAACCTATACGCCCGTCGTCCCCTTAACTCGGCCGTAGTACGATCGCATTTCTTTCTTCGTTCTGTTTCCACGTTGCAGATTGGAACGAGCTGTTCACGACAAAGTGTTTCGCGTGCGGATTCCCCGTCGAGGCTGGAGATCGCTGGGTAGAGGCCCTGAACAATAATTACCACAGCCAATGCTTCAACTGCACGGTACGCAATTAGTGCGAGAACGCTTCTCGAAATAAACCGATCGATCCGAAACCGGGAAGAAAGCCGAAGAATGTCGAAGAAACGGGCTGCCGATTCTGCTCGACAATCGGCGGCCTTTCTTTCTTCGGACTTATCGTTAATCCCGCGTTCGCTGGATTTCTTTCTGCTCGGATTGCGGACGTTCGTACACTCGACCTGGAAAAATAGAAATTCGCGTGAAGATTAAAGGTCTCGAACAAAGTAGAACGTACCAATAATACCCTCGTTCCGTTCTCTGTTGCAGATGTGCAGGAAGAACCTCGAGGGTCAGAGCTTCTACGCGAAGGGCGGCCGTCCGTTCTGCAAAAATCACGCGCGCTAAAACCGTGGCTCGTCGAATCCTGATGCGCGACCAAGCAAAGGGAGATTCAGGGCAGGGTGGGGGATGGGGCCGTGGAAGCAGAAAACAGAGAAAAGGCAGAAAAATATTGCGGAGAATACGCGTACCTTAGCTTTACAAGCACGAAATTCTGTCTGCACGATGTTGTTTTACCGTGATTTCATCTTCTTCTTCTTCTTCTTCTTCTTATATTGTTCTTCTTATTATTATTTCTTCTTGTATGACTATTCGATCGACGAGACGCGCGCAACGTCTCCGGAAACAAAAAAAACTACCACTAACCCAAAAAACGAAAGAGAGAGAGAGAGAGAGAGAAGCGCGCCGCTTACGATAAGATTGATAGCGAAACGATATCAACGGGAATGCGGTGTCTAATACGAACGAGTACGCTAATAGAACGCTAATAGAACTAATTATCTCTATCGATTAAGCCGGACCTGCTCGATCGGATGGATCGCGTAAGGTCGCGGCGCGAGAAACTCCTCGAAGTCGGCGACAGTCGATCAACGAATATGGAAAAGGGAAAAGAGAAAAGGGACGAGAGAAAGCGGTGTCCTTCGAGGATCGCGTTTCCTCGTGATTCCGTGATCGGCCGCCGCTCGCTCGGTGCTCAGGATAATACTAATCGTCGTGTACCGTAAACGTTCGAGGCCGCGAAGCCAACGACAGTTATCGAATCCGTTCTCTATGTTCTGCAATCGTTACCGACAATGCGACGCGCTCCCAGGGTGTTCGTCCTTCGAGGCGAAGCGTCGACATTCCACGGCTCGAAAACAGCGGAGGAGACTGTTTGTCGCGGCTTCCTTGGGTCAGCTCGGGCTCCCTCGGGCTTCCGGTCTCGGAACGGACGGGACACGATGGGTATACCTCGGAATACCTCGCGAAACGATTGCCGCAGACAATTCTGCAACGATAGAAGGAACGCTGTGCGCCATGAGCCGCCGCGCTCTTTGCGAGCTCGGATTTGGTCTCGTGGTCGGATCACGCAAAGGTCGCCCGAGCAATTAGTATTACTGGCGTTATCACATATTTCGTAGGCCCAAGGTGCATCCGGAGCGTCGTCACGTAAATGTCGGCCCCCGGAAGGTACGAGCGATTCGAACAATGTCTCCGATTAGAATTTCGAGGGAACCGGACACGCTGGAGAGAGACGCTCTCCGTAACCCTCTTGCTACCAAAGACGGCCGCTCGAATCTCTCGTGGCTCCGGCGGAATTTAATCGGGGATCGTTCGATGCCGGAACATTAAAAATTCAAATGGGAATATTGCTAGTCACGATTCCGTCGGCGGTACTAATTGACGGATACCCGACTCGCGGTCGTAGATCGCGTGATTAGACGACGAATAGGTTCCACGTCGACTACTAACAAGCGTTCCGCGGAGACACTTGTTACCATTATCGAATCGAGGAGCAGACCCGGGATCCTCGTGCATGCGAATTTCACCGTAAATCATCCGACGGAACGGAGCGGAACAGAACGAACCGAGCTCGAGACAGAAGCAGCGGGCCTCGATTTCTTTCCGCTCGATCGTCCGCCACCGATCGTTCCACCGAGCACCGGCACGAACCTTCGCCGGTACGGGAAAAAACACGTTCCGAAAAGCTGTTGTCTCGTTCTCGGAATAGACGTAGATTAAAACGCGATTAAAGAGAATATCGGCTTCGAGGATCGAGGAACTTGCACTCTTTGATAGCAGTTGCCATATAATTTTAGACAAGGTTACCGATTTCTGTGCCATCTTCGCGGGCTCGCGGCAGTCAGCAAACGAACACAACGTCCGTCGCGTTCGATGTCCTTATAGCCGAACCGCGAATCCGACCCGCTGCTGGCTGAGAACCGCACGAGCCTCTGTATCCGTGTTACGTGTTGCTTACAATAAAATAAAATGTTCATGTAAGTCTCCTTCGTCCCGAGTGTACTTCTTTTATCCTGCTTCACCCTAGAAACAAACAGACCGTTTCAAACGGGTATCTGGCCGGCTAGCTGAAACGATATAAACGTATACAAACGATAGGTCCATCGCGGATCTTTGGGCAGAGCGGAAACGTTCCGCGTCGATTGCAATTATCATCGGGGCTAAACAGTCCGCAGACTAATGATAAAACAAATCGCGGGATATCGGTGTCGGATAAAATGTAGAATGTCGAACGGAGAGAAGCGAGACGCGAAAACAAAGAACGATTGATCTCGATTGGCATGGCCGTTGGATTTGCAAAGGGAAGCGGAGAACTCGGAACGCGTGCAAGGGAGACACGTGAAGACTCGTGAATAAACTGGAGGAAGGAAGCAGCTCTCCGGCAAAGGGACGGTTCCATCGATTTGTCATTAAAGTAACCTTGCGGTACCTCCTACCTCCGAAGCCAGACACGCGACACATTTTTCTGGCGAGCCTTTTTCGCAACGAATACGTCATCGCCGCGGACTTCAATGAACGCTTCTATGTCTATTAATATAACCGCGAGAATAGATCGCAGGGAGCGCCCATAGAACCGTTTCCGGTTGTTCGATGGCCCGGAATTTCTGAATGACAACGGAAGGGAACCACGATAGGAGGTTCGCCAAAGATACAAGACGGAGAACGCGATCGAACCAGTAATCACAGACTCGGCAATTTCCTTGATGATTTTTCAAATCTATGTCGAAAGGACGATAGTCCCTTCACCAGACATCACGTCCGTGTAACATTAACGCGTCGACAGCCACATCACAAACCCCGAAAGATCCCACAACATCGAAGCAGTTTAGTTAAGAGAACTGAAACTGAAAAGCCGAGGTTGATTCAAGCGATTGTTTCTTTGATTCTCTCGCATGTTACAAATCCTAGTAAAATTTGATCTGCTCAAAAAGTAGCGTTGCCTGGACATATATAACCGACGCGGCAGTGAACGCATTGACACATAGCACAACCGACGCGACGACCGCAGTAGTTTCCTGTAGCTGAACGTCGATGAGAACGAGCAACGTTTGCCTGTGGTTGTTGGTTCAATTACGCTGCTCGGTGTACATGGTTTCCTTGACACGCGTGGTCTTTCGTACGCGAATCTCGCGTTTAAACTTGAACCGTCGACACTGACACGCTTGTTCCGCCTATCAGCTTCGGTGAACGTTGCGCCGCTGGAAAGTCGCGTGCCCGCGATAACGATCTATAAACGTGTATCAGCGGCGAACCGTTTTCGAGACGGGAGCCTCCGCAGACTTCCGGTGTCCTTGCCGTGGTCGCGGTGTCCACCGAAAGCCCATAAAAGCTGGAAAGCGACGAGGGATCCGGCACACGGGCAATACCTGCGCACCTGCGACCAGGTCAAAGCGATTGCGTAGACCGAAACGTGGCGGTGCACACCAGTGAGAATCGGGAGCCCGACTCGCTTGCGTGCGGTTCCACCGAAATATTTGAATACCGAAGGAGAACTGCTCGTCCCGTCGACGAGGAACCGTCGTCGACCGTCGCATCGGCCGTACAGAAGCCGCCGTCGCAAAAGAATTTTATGGTACCGAGCCGAGACACCGGTATATACGCGAGGACATGTCCCATCGCCGATGCATTTGAATACCGACTCACGGATGCCGGAACCGGCAAGTTATTTTCAAACGAGTATCATGTCCGTTTCACATTTCCGTGAAGTTTCATGAATGGGAAGCTCGAAGGATGCGACGATAGGGGATCGCGTTCCGCTTCGAAATAGGTGAGCAGTTCTCCGTGTGAAATATTCGGTAGTTTTCGCTACAGAAATTTTCCCTCTGTTCTCTCTCTCGTAAAGCGCGCCGTGTCAACGCTCTGTCTACTAATCGCGCGCGCCGGAGTACAATGTGTCGGTATGGCAGTGAAATACTTGGACGGGCCCTTCGTCTTCAGACTCAACGACAACGGTGCGGGACCTCATCTGCTCGTACAGGTATCGTCTCGCCACAGTTTACAGTGTGACAATAAGCGAAAACCATAAGTAACTTCCGCTTTAGCGCGTTAACTGTCCCGCGTCCGCTTCGTGCAACCATCGGCAAATACCAGCGAAAAAGGAGTCGAGTCTCCGCTTTTTCGAAATTATCAAGCGGTCACGCGACCCACCGCCGACAAGGTGGATAGTCTGGCAGTTAAAGTGTTAAAGACGCGAACGAAGAACGAAGCGAACGACGGGGCAAACGAGCACGAGCCGGGCTGCTCATAAATATCGAAGATACGTCTCGTCACGCTTTTATGTCGTTCGGAATTTGTTCGGGGCACGGTTACAAACTTAGCCGTGTCCTTGAACTGAATACTTTTCAAGGTACGTACGGTGTACATATGCACGTGCATACCTGCAGAGTCTCGACGCGGGATGCGACGCGCTTTTGCGTGTACCGCTTTTAGAACAGCGTCGGAGGAGCTATTAAGTAAGTGCGACATGCAATAATAAAAGGGCAAAGAATAGAGTGGTCGTGACACAGCAACCTACTCTTCCCGACTCGCACGAACCTAAGAGCAACCCGGAATCGGCGACGATTCCGCGGAGGAGAGTCGTAGCCGTGATTCGCGTTATGCAACCGGTTCGCTTTAGATCGGGGAACGGCTCGTCGATCGGCTAGTCGATTCCATCCAAGTATCTGGGCCCTAAATTCTAGGCTCCTTGTAAAGACGATAGGACAGCGCCGATTGGAATCCTCGACGGTATTCGACACGGCCGTCGAACGTATTACACAATTATTTTGCCGGCGATTCTGGGTAAAGGGAGCAGGCTATCGCGATGGCGGAGCTCGTCGATCGTTTCTAATTAGAGTAGGCCAGGCACCCCTCGTCTCGTCGAGGTGCAAGTTGAAACGATAAGTCGACGGAAGCTTCGACGCATTCGAGCCAATGGTATTTTTCACGAATCCGGCACCACCACCACCGCCGGCAGCGAAACGAAACGATCCGGATCGTGTGGTAACGGGGTGTAAAATGGTGTCGACGTCCTTCCGCGGCTCGAATCGATCGGCAAGTTTTAAGAAAATGTTGCACGGCCATTATACACGGCCGAATAATAAAAGTAGGCTGCCGTGACTGCGAACGGGGATACCGCGCCGAATTTAATTGTAATTAGAGACCTTGACTCGCTTCTGGTGTACCAGAGACAGCCGTTCTTAATGCTCTAATAACACGACAAATAAATCAAGGGCGTGTTCCGACCGTTCTCGCTCGCGTGCTCCCTCGAGACTACGAAACGCGGAATGCGTAATATCGAAGCGTTTAATCGGAGATTTTGCCGGCTCATCGCGTTGAATACTGATTGCCGCGCGCGCGCGGAGCTTTTCGAGTTTATAATACAGCCTTTCTTCCATCCGTCTCGGTTGAATGAAATGAAAGCCGCGTATACGTGTCCACGGTACTTGAGAAGTTGGGCGGGCCACCGCTCGGACTCCTTGCCCCGCGACCGCGATCGAACTTCCGCTGCAGGATACAAGAATGTCGCATATTTTTCGCAGGTTTGCACGGAACGTGGCTGGAGGGAATACACTGGCGATAATAATGTATTCAAAGATCGATGGAATTTATGGTGGCGGTCCGGTGGTTTCCCGTCGCCTCATTACAGGCCGTTGCCCTGGCAGGTAATAACGCATCCGGCTCTCTGTTCGCCTGAAATTTATACGAAAGTTTATGCACGCGTACCCCTGAACAGGACGCAAGCTGCGTGTAGCTAAGTAGCCGGTAGTTTACAATGATAATGGACGCGGGTTGCTTTCAGTGGCTTCAAACCACCAAGCTGTCGTCGTTAAATAAACAACGTACACAATTAACAGAATGTTACTGACTTCACAGTTCGTCAATAGAATACCAAAGGGGAGCTCGATCTGTAGAAAGGACAATCTCATCCGACACCTGAGATGCATGAAGAAGATGCACGGCTCTGTCTACGACTTCAGGTACGATCTAGAACACGAACGATGATAACTGGAACGGGTGTTTGATCGTTATCAAATGTGGAATGCATCGCGTTAGTCCCGCAGGGTACAACTTGCCGTCGGAGTACACGAAGTTCGCGGAGGAATGCAATCGTTGCGAGAAAGACGACAGGGTTTGGATCTGCAAACCGGTCAGTCAGAGCCAAGGAAGGGGGATCTTTCTGTTTCGCGTAAGAACGGTTGACATTCTCTCGTAGGTCGTAGGTCGTCTGGCAAATCAAATTCAATGCCGATTTTCCATGGTGTACAGAAGCTGAGCGACCTGACCTACGACAACACGACGGTGGTGCAGAGGTACATCGAGAATCCTCTTCTGATAGGGGGCTACAAGTTCGATCTGAGGCTGTACGTGTGCGTGCCCTCCTACCGTCCTTTGACCATATATCTGTACAAGGAGGGGTTGACGCGTTTCGCCACGGAGAAGTTCTCGTTGGAACACCTGAACGATCCTTTCAGACACTTGACCAACTTCTCTTTGAACAAGCTTGGACCGGGGTACGCGGAGAAAAAGGAGCGTGTCGGTTCCGGTAACGATAATCTGTTGTCTCTCGATTAATCTGAAAAAGCGGAAGCAATCAGTGACGGAATTGTAATCGTTGTAGGCTGTAAATGGACTTTCAGACAATTGAGAAGGTATTTCGAGCAGGCCGGTTACTGCGATTGGTTCCTTTGGCAGAGGATCGCCTGCCTGGTGAGCCTGACGATACTGAGCCAAGCGGCGGCCATACCGAGATCTTCCAATTGCTTCGAGTTCTTTGGCTTCGACGTGTTGATCGACAAGGATCTGAAACCATGGTTACTCGAGGTTGATATAATATATAGAGCTCTCGGCTTTGCACGCGACGGAAGACGAATGTACGTAACCTAGAGGAACCGGCATTCCAACAGGTCAATCTCAGCCCAGCATTAAGCAACGACTGCGAGATCGATTCAGAGGTGAAGAAACCCTTACTGCACGACTTGTTCGATTTACTGGGTCTTCCGGTGTGCAACACCGGACTCTCCCTGTTCACGATATGGTCGACCAGTCGCGTCAACATCGAAATCGAAGAGTCTTCCAAGTTTTCTAAGAGCCGAACCGCAAAGAAGAAGTCGAGAACCGGTCGGGAAACCGACGGTTTCGTGAACCTGTGCACAGATCTCCAACCTACTGTATGTGTATCCATGTATCGATCCTCTTGCTGTCGGTTCGAGTTACGAATTTTCAATAATACCTACAAATCGTTCAAATCATCAGCTTAGACAATCAACTCTGCACGATTGTTCGAATTCGTGGAATCGTTACAATCCTCTGTTGGTGGACAAGTACATTCCTCGCGGTTTTCGAGGTAACAACTCTGAAAACCACGATAAAACTTCGGTCTGGGACAATGGAAAGGACTGGAACACGCCTTGCACCAAAGAAGGTGGATGGGTCCGCATTTATCCGTTGACCAGAGCGCAGCCGAACGATTCTTCGGACTATTCGTCGCCCTCGGTTACAGAATCCTCGCGGGTCGTCGAGAAAGAAGTCAGAAACACGGTTCTTTGTATACAAAAGTACTGGTTTCTAATGTTGCCGCATTATCGAGAACGCAACAGATCCATTCATAATCGCCTTTCGATCTTGTAGGTATCTGAAAGCTGCCAAACAAGTTCAGAAAAAGTCCGAAAAGTACCGAGACGAACAACGCAACGCGATGCTCCGTAAAGCACTGGAATTGAGTACCGAAATATGGCTGCCAGCAAAGTGAATATAGCAAAATTGTAAAAGACGCGTTCTTTATCTCTATCGCGGCTTTGAAGCGATGTCTCGCACACGATACACCTTAATCATTCTTACGAGCGCATATTTAACCGGATCGTGATATTTACACTGATACATTTCGTTTATTACTACATCGATACCTTTCCGATAGCCAATCGTTAATATCGTTAAAAGCTGTTCCTCGAAAGAACACATCAGAGGTTCATGAAGGATCATAATAAATGGGCGTCTTACTTGAAGCGCGTAACATGTGGATTGTGGGAAAACAGTGGACATTTATTACAAGCCATGATGCACCTTATATGTGTTCTTTCTGAAAAGAGACCATAATAATAATTTAATGAATGTATTTACGCTAGACACGTTTCGTTCGACAGGAACATTTCCGCCTGACTCATACGGTTCCAACAAGCGCTGCGCGAACGCAATGATAGGACGGTGATAGTTGAAAGGCACGTCTTTTATTCACCAAGAAATTCTCGGTTTATTGAAAGTTTTATTGAATATTTACATTAATTCACACCTTTCGCTGCTAACCTCTTGTCGCGTTCTTCAGCGATTGATAGCTTAACACCCTTATCCCTCGGTAAACTAATGTAGGGCTTTGTACCTCTGCCAATGATGAACACGTTATTCAACCTGCGCAAAGTAATTCAGACTTATCATTACCAAAGAATTCCGTAACATTCCAATTGTTACTGTTTCCTAAATGGGTAATACTGAGAAGCCTATGTGAAGGCAATCAGTGACCAATATGAAGGAGTTTAATTTTGGCCAACTTTTGACTACAATGTACAATATCCTAGCATCATCCTAGCTTCGATTATGGCCAGCATATGAATTAATTGACCCGTACCTTGTTGCAAAAGTATGTCCTTGCGAATCCTTGATGTGACAAATATCGAAGGATCCAGGGTGACGTTCGCGACTGACTACCGTGCCGACACGTCCCAAATTTCTCCCACCAGTGATCATACACAGATTACCTATTTAAAAGTACAAAATGTATAAATAGGTATGTTTCTTAGAAATACATGTATACAAATAGAACAATATGAAAAAAAGCACATGTTACCCGAATCGAATCTGATAGAATCCAAGATTTTGCTAGTAGCAATGTCCAAGTGAATGGTGTCGTTGACCTTGATGACTGGGTCTGGATAACGAATGGTCCTACCATCGTGCGTCACCAAGAATGGAATACCTTTAGGTCCAGTTTGAACACGCTTTACTTTACACAGCTTGTACTGTAACAAACAATACCTTGGTGTTCAACAAAATCAATATTTTTCGCATACTTGAACTTTACTTTTAATTTTATGCCAACAATCAGTACCTTGGCTTCTTCTGCTGTGATTCTGTGAGTAGTGAAACGTCCTTTAACATCATAGATCAGTCTGAAGAATTCACCAGTCTTCTTGATAGTGATTACATCTGCGACAAATAATCAAATACTATTAATACATTTAATATTCATTTGCATCAAGTTGGTACATAAAAATCAGCTATTTGTCTTTGCAGCATTAGGAATACAGTAAGATAAAGAAATCTATTTAAATTTTAAATAATCGTCAACATAGATCAAATAGAGCCATAACAAAAAATTATATGAAACAATGTGCACTTTTTGGGTAATACAGAAAGAATATATAAACTACTCAATCTGTGACCATAAAAAAGAACTTTTTACTATTGGCCGATTTATGACTGTAGTTGCTTTTGATCAGAGCTACTACAGCTTCGATATGGCCTGCCACGAACAGAATAAATGAAATTTCTTATTTGCTTACCCATAAAACCTGCTGGATAGTTGGGGTCTGTACGAACTTTGCCATCGACTCTGATCAAACGCTGCATCATAATTTTTGTCACTTCACAGTTGGTCAGGGCATACTTCAATCTATTACGGAGGAAAATGACAAGAGGAAGAGATTCCCTGAGCTTGTGGGGCCCAGTGGATGGACGTGGTGCATATACACCTCCCAATTTGTCCAACATCCATGCTTTCGGCGCGTTAAGACGCTTCAAGTGCTTTTTCGGACCTCGAGCCTACAAATTAATAAAATAATCAATTTGTTATTGTTAGCACTAAACAAACTAAACTAAACTCCGATAAAAATTCAAACTCTCGACGTCACAGATTTGAACCTGTTTTAAGAGACAGCGATGCATTCACAGAAATCAATATTCCATTTACATGGATTTCGTTATTTGGTAAATTGATTGGAATTTAAAAAAGATAGTTGTAGATATTAGTTTTCGTGAGCAAATTGTGACAACAAATACCTGTAGCAAAACTAACCACACTCGTACAAACTAATCACAATTTCTTCTGACTACAAATGTACGGATTTGAGGAAATATATATGCTACAGATTTTATATTTTAATGGATGTAGTTTACTATTTTATTGAGTATTAAATGATATATTAATCATTAAGCCAGATGCAAGCGAATTTTTTGTTGACAACGCATGACGGACTTACCATCTTGGTCTTTTAAACATAAAAAACACAAACTCTTAGAGCTTCCCTCCACATCAGGAAGTTGCTCGCGGCGCCACTGCAGCCAATATGGCGGCTGCAGTGCATTGTTATCCGACTAAGGATTTCGCACATAGTTTACAGTCCAGTTTATTTAAGTACAGAACCGGTCGGGAAACCGACGGTTTCGAAACCTATGCACGGGTCTCCAATCAACTGTATGTGTATCCATGTATCGGTTTTCGTGGTAACAACTCTGAAAACCACGATAAACCTTCAGTCTGGGACAATGGAAAGGACTGGAACGCTTTGCACTAAAGAAGGTGGATGAGCTCGCATTTATCCGCTGACTAGAGCGCCGCCGAACGATTCCTCAAACTATTCGTCGCCCTCGGTTACAGAATCCTCAAGGTTCGTCGAGGAAGACGTCAGATATACGTTTCATTCGACAGGAACGTTCCCGCCCGACTATGTAATACGGTTCCAACAAACGCTGCGCGAACGCAATGATGGGATGGTGATGGTTGAAAGGCACGTTTTATTGTTAGAAATTCTCGGTTTATTGAAAGTTTTATTGAATATTTACATTAATTCACACCTTTCGCTGCTAACCTCTTGTCGCGTTCTTCAGCGATTGATAGCTTAACACCCTTATCCCTCGGTAAACTAATGTAGGGCTTTGTACCTCTGCCAATGATGAACACGTTATTCAACCTGCGCAAAGTAATTCAGACTTATCATTACCAAAGAATTCCGTAACATTCCAATTGTTACTGTTTCCTAAATGGGTAATACTGAGAAGCCTATGTGAAGGCAATCAGTGACCAATATGAAGGAGTTTAATTTTGGCCAACTTTTGACTACAATGTACAATATCCTAGCATCATCCTAGCTTCGATTATGGCCAGCATATGAATTAATTGACCCGTACCTTGTTGCAAAAGTATGTCCTTGCGAATCCTTGATGTGACAAATATCGAAGGATCCAGGGTGACGTTCGCGACTGACTACCGTGCCGACACGTCCCAAATTTCTCCCACCAGTGATCATACACAGATTACCTATTTAAAAGTACAAAATGTATAAATAGGTATGTTTCTTAGAAATACATGTATACAAATAGAACAATATGAAAAAAAGCACATGTTACCCGAATCGAATCTGATAGAATCCAAGATTTTGCTAGTAGCAATGTCCAAGTGAATGGTGTCGTTGACCTTGATGACTGGGTCTGGATAACGAATGGTCCTACCATCGTGCGTCACCAAGAATGGAATACCTTTAGGTCCAGTTTGAACACGCTTTACTTTACACAGCTTGTACTGTAACAAACAATACCTTGGTGTTCAACAAAATCAATATTTTTCGCATACTTGAACTTTACTTTTAATTTTATGCCAACAATCAGTACCTTGGCTTCTTCTGCTGTGATTCTGTGAGTAGTGAAACGTCCTTTAACATCATAGATCAGTCTGAAGAATTCACCAGTCTTCTTGATAGTGATTACATCTGCGACAAATAATCAAATACTATTAATACATTTAATATTCATTTGCATCAAGTTGGTACATAAAAATCAGCTATTTGTCTTTGCAGCATTAGGAATACAGTAAGATAAAGAAATCTATTTAAATTTTAAATAATCGTCAACATAGATCAAATAGAGCCATAACAAAAAATTATATGAAACAATGTGCACTTTTTGGGTAATACAGAAAGAATATATAAACTACTCAATCTGTGACCATAAAAAAGAACTTTTTACTATTGGCCGATTTATGACTGTAGTTGCTTTTGATCAGAGCTACTACAGCTTCGATATGGCCTGCCACGAACAGAATAAATGAAATTTCTTATTTGCTTACCCATAAAACCTGCTGGATAGTTGGGGTCTGTACGAACTTTGCCATCGACTCTGATCAAACGCTGCATCATAATTTTTGTCACTTCACAGTTGGTCAGGGCATACTTCAATCTATTACGGAGGAAAATGACAAGAGGAAGAGATTCCCTGAGTTTGTGGGGCCCAGTGGATGGACGTGGGGCATATACACCTCCCAATTTGTCCAACATCCATGCTTTCGGCGCGTTAAGACGCTTCAAGTGCTTTTTCGGACCTCGAGCCTACAAATTAATAAAATAATCAATTTGTTATTGTTAGCACTAAACAAACTAAACTAAACTCCGATAAAAATTCAAACTCTCGACGTCACAGATTTGAACCTGTTTTAAGAGACAGCGATGCATTCACAGAAATCAATATTCCATTTACATGGATTTCGTTATTTGGTAAATTGATTGGAATTTAAAAAAGATAGTTGTAGATATTAGTTTTCGTGAGCAAATTGTGACAACAAATACCTGTAGCAAAACTAACCACACTCGTACAAACTAATCACAATTTCTTCTGACTACAAATGTACGGATTTGAGGAAATATATATGCTACAGATTTTATATTTTAATGGATGTAGTTTACTATTTTATTGAGTATTAAATGATATATTAATCATTAAGCCAGATGCAAGCGAATTTTTTGTTGACAACGCATGACGGACTTACCATCTTGGTCTTTTAAACATAAAAAACACAAACTCTTAGAGCTTCCCTCCACATCAGGAAGTTGCTCGCGGCGCCACTGCAGCCAATATGGCGGCTGCAGTGCATTGTTATCCGACTAAGGATTTCGCACATAGTTTACAGTCCAGTTTATTTAAGTACAGAACCGGTCGGGAAACCGACGGTTTCGAAACCTATGCACGGGTCTCCAATCAACTGTATGTGTATCCATGTATCGGTTTTCGTGGTAACAACTCTGAAAACCACGATAAACCTTCAGTCTGGGACAATGGAAAGGACTGGAACGCTTTGCACTAAAGAAGGTGGATGAGCTCGCATTTATCCGCTGACTAGAGCGCCGCCGAACGATTCCTCAAACTATTCGTCGCCCTCGGTTACAGAATCCTCAAGGTTCGTCGAGGAAGACGTCAGATATACGTTTCATTCGACAGGAACGTTCCCGCCCGACTATGTAATACGGTTCCAACAAACGCTGCGCGAACGCAATGATGGGATGGTGATGGTTGAAAGGCACGTTTTATTGTTAGAAATTCTCGGTTTATTGAAAGTTTTATTGAATATTTACATTAATTCACACCTTTCGCTGCTAACCTCTTGTCGCGTTCTTCAGCGATTGATAGCTTAACACCCTTATCCCTCGGTAAACTAATGTAGGGCTTTGTACCTCTGCCAATGATGAACACGTTATTCAACCTGCGCAAAGTAATTCAGACTTATCATTACCAAAGAATTCCGTAACATTCCAATTGTTACTGTTTCCTAAATGGGTAATACTGAGAAGCCTATGTGAAGGCAATCAGTGACCAATATGAAGGAGTTTAATTTTGGCCAACTTTTGACTACAATGTACAATATCCTAGCATCATCCTAGCTTCGATTATGGCCAGCATATGAATTAATTGACCCGTACCTTGTTGCAAAAGTATGTCCTTGCGAATCCTTGATGTGACAAATATCGAAGGATCCAGGGTGACGTTCGCGACTGACTACCGTGCCGACACGTCCCAAATTTCTCCCACCAGTGATCATACACAGATTACCTATTTAAAAGTACAAAATGTATAAATAGGTATGTTTCTTAGAAATACATGTATACAAATAGAACAATATGAAAAAAAGCACATGTTACCCGAATCGAATCTGATAGAATCCAAGATTTTGCTAGTAGCAATGTCCAAGTGAATGGTGTCGTTGACCTTGATGACTGGGTCTGGATAACGAATGGTCCTACCATCGTGCGTCACCAAGAATGGAATACCTTTAGGTCCAGTTTGAACACGCTTTACTTTACACAGCTTGTACTGTAACAAACAATACCTTGGTGTTCAACAAAATCAATATTTTTCGCATACTTGAACTTTACTTTTAATTTTATGCCAACAATCAGTACCTTGGCTTCTTCTGCTGTGATTCTGTGAGTAGTGAAACGTCCTTTAACATCATAGATCAGTCTGAAGAATTCACCAGTCTTCTTGATAGTGATTACATCTGCGACAAATAATCAAATACTATTAATACATTTAATATTCATTTGCATCAAGTTGGTACATAAAAATCAGCTATTTGTCTTTGCAGCATTAGGAATACAGTAAGATAAAGAAATCTATTTAAATTTTAAATAATCGTCAACATAGATCAAATAGAGCCATAACAAAAAATTATATGAAACAATGTGCACTTTTTGGGTAATACAGAAAGAATATATAAACTACTCAATCTGTGACCATAAAAAAGAACTTTTTACTATTGGCCGATTTATGACTGTAGTTGCTTTTGATCAGAGCTACTACAGCTTCGATATGGCCTGCCACGAACAGAATAAATGAAATTTCTTATTTGCTTACCCATAAAACCTGCTGGATAGTTGGGGTCTGTACGAACTTTGCCATCGACTCTGATCAAACGCTGCATCATAATTTTTGTCACTTCACAGTTGGTCAGGGCATACTTCAATCTATTACGGAGGAAAATGACAAGAGGAAGAGATTCCCTGAGCTTGTGGGGCCCAGTGGATGGACGTGGTGCATATACACCTCCCAATTTGTCCAACATCCATGCTTTCGGCGCGTTAAGACGCTTCAAGTGCTTTTTCGGACCTCGAGCCTACAAATTAATAAAATAATCAATTTGTTATTGTTAGCACTAAACAAACTAAACTAAACTCCGATAAAAATTCAAACTCTCGACGTCACAGATTTGAACCTGTTTTAAGAGACAGCGATGCATTCACAGAAATCAATATTCCATTTACATGGATTTCGTTATTTGGTAAATTGATTGGAATTTAAAAAAGATAGTTGTAGATATTAGTTTTCGTGAGCAAATTGTGACAACAAATACCTGTAGCAAAACTAACCACACTCGTACAAACTAATCACAATTTCTTCTGACTACAAATGTACGGATTTGAGGAAATATATATGCTACAGATTTTATATTTTAATGGATGTAGTTTACTATTTTATTGAGTATTAAATGATATATTAATCATTAAGCCAGATGCAAGCGAATTTTTTGTTGACAACGCATGACGGACTTACCATCTTGGTCTTTTAAACATAAAAAACACAAACTCTTAGAGCTTCCCTCCACATCAGGAAGTTGCTCGCGGCGCCACTGCAGCCAATATGGCGGCTGCAGTGCATTGTTATCCGACTAAGGATTTCGCACATAGTTTACAGTCCAGTTTATTTAAGTACAGAACCGGTCGGGAAACCGACGGTTTCGAAACCTATGCACGGGTCTCCAATCAACTGTATGTGTATCCATGTATCGGTTTTCGTGGTAACAACTCTGAAAACCACGATAAACCTTCAGTCTGGGACAATGGAAAGGACTGGAACGCTTTGCACTAAAGAAGGTGGATGAGCTCGCATTTATCCGCTGACTAGAGCGCCGCCGAACGATTCCTCAAACTATTCGTCGCCCTCGGTTACAGAATCCTCAAGGTTCGTCGAGGAAGACGTCAGATATACGTTTCATTCGACAGGAACGTTCCCGCCCGACTATGTAATACGGTTCCAACAAACGCTGCGCGAACGCAATGATGGGATGGTGATGGTTGAAAGGCACGTTTTATTGTTAGAAATTCTCGGTTTATTGAAAGTTTTATTGAATATTTACATTAATTCACACCTTTCGCTGCTAACCTCTTGTCGCGTTCTTCAGCGATTGATAGCTTAACACCCTTATCCCTCGGTAAACTAATGTAGGGCTTTGTACCTCTGCCAATGATGAACACGTTATTCAACCTGCGCAAAGTAATTCAGACTTATCATTACCAAAGAATTCCGTAACATTCCAATTGTTACTGTTTCCTAAATGGGTAATACTGAGAAGCCTATGTGAAGGCAATCAGTGACCAATATGAAGGAGTTTAATTTTGGCCAACTTTTGACTACAATGTACAATATCCTAGCATCATCCTAGCTTCGATTATGGCCAGCATATGAATTAATTGACCCGTACCTTGTTGCAAAAGTATGTCCTTGCGAATCCTTGATGTGACAAATATCGAAGGATCCAGGGTGACGTTCGCGACTGACTACCGTGCCGACACGTCCCAAATTTCTCCCACCAGTGATCATACACAGATTACCTATTTAAAAGTACAAAATGTATAAATAGGTATGTTTCTTAGAAATACATGTATACAAATAGAACAATATGAAAAAAAGCACATGTTACCCGAATCGAATCTGATAGAATCCAAGATTTTGCTAGTAGCAATGTCCAAGTGAATGGTGTCGTTGACCTTGATGACTGGGTCTGGATAACGAATGGTCCTACCATCGTGCGTCACCAAGAATGGAATACCTTTAGGTCCAGTTTGAACACGCTTTACTTTACACAGCTTGTACTGTAACAAACAATACCTTGGTGTTCAACAAAATCAATATTTTTCGCATACTTGAACTTTACTTTTAATTTTATGCCAACAATCAGTACCTTGGCTTCTTCTGCTGTGATTCTGTGAGTAGTGAAACGTCCTTTAACATCATAGATCAGTCTGAAGAATTCACCAGTCTTCTTGATAGTGATTACATCTGCGACAAATAATCAAATACTATTAATACATTTAATATTCATTTGCATCAAGTTGGTACATAAAAATCAGCTATTTGTCTTTGCAGCATTAGGAATACAGTAAGATAAAGAAATCTATTTAAATTTTAAATAATCGTCAACATAGATCAAATAGAGCCATAACAAAAAATTATATGAAACAATGTGCACTTTTTGGGTAATACAGAAAGAATATATAAACTACTCAATCTGTGACCATAAAAAAGAACTTTTTACTATTGGCCGATTTATGACTGTAGTTGCTTTTGATCAGAGCTACTACAGCTTCGATATGGCCTGCCACGAACAGAATAAATGAAATTTCTTATTTGCTTACCCATAAAACCTGCTGGATAGTTGGGGTCTGTACGAACTTTGCCATCGACTCTAATCAAACGCTGCATCACAATTTTTGTCACTTCACAGTTGGTCAGGGCATACTTCAATCTATTACGGAGGAAAATGACAAGAGGAAGAGATTCCCTGAGCTTGTGGGGCCCAGTGGATGGACGTGGTGCATATACACCTCCCAATTTGTCCAACATCCATGCTTTCGGCGCGTTAAGACGCTTCAAGTGCTTTTTCGGACCTCGAGCCTACAAATTAATAAAATAATCAATTTGTTATTGTTAGCACTAAACAAACTAAACTAAACTCCGATAAAAATTCAAACTCTCGACGTCACAGATTTGAACCTGTTTTAAGAGACAGCGATGTATTCACAGAAATCAATATTCCATTTACATGGATTTCGTTATTTGGTAAATTGATTGGAATTTAAAAAAGATAGTTGTAGATATTAGTTTTCGTGAGCAAATTGTGACAACAAATACCTGTAGCAAAACTAACCACACTCGTACAAACTAACCACAATTTCTTCTGACTACAAATGTACGGATTTGAGGAAATATATATGCTACAGATTTTATTTTAATGCACGTAGTTTACTATTTTATTGAGTATTAAATGATATATTAATCATAAAGCCGGATGCAAGCGGATTTTCTGTTGATAACGCATGACGGACTTACCATCTTGGTCTTCTAAACGGAAAAGACACAAACTCTCAGAGCTTCCCATAACATCAGTTAGTTGCTCGCGACGCCACTGCAGCCAATATAGCGACTGTTGTACAAAGGATTTCGCGACGCCACTACAGCCAATATGGCGACTGTTGTGCATTGTTAATCGACTAAAGATTTCGCGATATTTTACATTGTTATAAACTATTCCGTACAGTTAACGTACCATCAACAATGATGTTACGCGAATTACAAGAACATAAAAAATAACAGTAACCGGAGAATATTATGGTAAACTCTAGGTAGCCAGCTTTTAATTTAAAATATAGTTTCAGAAATTACGGGTCTGTATGTAATGTGCAATATAAAAATTTCGGAATTAGAGATAATTGCTATGTGTTCATAAATTATAAACGAAGGCTAAAGATATGCAATTCATTTTTATTAAAATATGCTTCAAAATAGTACAAACTATAAGCAATTATCAACAAGTATTATCATTTAAATCATAAATACGAGAAAATGTTACATTGAATTTATTGTCTTAACAATGTCGTCTAATAAGCTGGATGCACCTATCCTAAATAAATCCTTTGTTAACCATTCGTCTCCTAGTTCCATTTGAACTAACATCATCCATTCCAAAGCTTCTTGGGACGTCTTTATACCTCCAGCTGGTTTTATACCAACCTAAGGATGATAAAAATTAATAATAAACATTAAAAATTAATTTTTTTTATTATAAGCAATTCCTGTACCTTTCTCTGTGTTAACGAGTAGTAATGTTTAATTGCACGACACATAACTATCCCAACAGAGTACATAGCATTGATTACTTCCTTTCCAGTGGATGTTTTAATAAAATTTGCTCCAGCCATCATTGCTATCATAGATGCTTTGTACACATTTTCCAAAGTCCCCAATTCTCCTGTAGCTAGTATGACCTTCAGACATACTTTATTATCACAGATGGCACTAAATGATTTTAATTCCTCGTATAATTCTTTCCACTGGTGAGTTACAGCTAATGATCGATTAATCACAATATCAATTTCATCAGCACCTCCTTCAATACCTATTTCAACTTCTCTGAGACGTGTCTCCAGTGGAAGTTGTCCAGATGGAAAACCTCCACCAACTGTTTATCAAAGAATAATTTACCATTTGATCAAAATAGAATCAGAAAGTTAATACTATGGAATTAATACTAACCAGTAACTCTAGCAACTTTATGGTCTTTATCAAGATCTGCTAATGCAGCCACTGCATCTGAAAGTCTCATGGGATAAACGCATACAGCTGCAGTATGCAAAGAATCTATGTGTTTACCAAGAGGATTTACAGCCTAAAATCATTAATGTTTATTATTACAATATTACCACATAATTTAACACAATAGATGGAATACATTAAACTACTACAGTTATGGTTGCAATCCTAGTAGTCACCTTTTCACAGACAGCTTTAACTTTAATTGGCGTATCATCCCCTCCTAACGTAGTTAAGTCTATAAAGCCTATTGCTTTCATCAACCAATCTTTTTTAGTATCTTTTTCCAGTGCATCAAGTTTAGAACGTATTGCACAAAATGTTTCATCTATCATTAATCGGTCAAAATTCATTGTGGCTAAAAGTTATTCATTATTGATAAGGAAGATGTAATTGAAATACAAATTAATTTTAAATATGTAGTGAAATGCTCGTAATACTGTAAATAGAATATCAAATTGCATACCACTGGCCAGTTCTTGGATATCCATTGCAATAATGTTAATTATATATGCTGCAAAATCCAAAAAGATATGTTATTATACCTCGATTGCTACTTAACGACGCGAAAATGTGCAAACGTTACACAAAATGGAAAGAAACGGTAAGTGAATGTAATAAAAATATATAAAGAATATCACTTCAACACAAGAATTGATAACACCGTAATCGTATCAGATATTTTGTTTGTTTTTACGCGAGGTGACGCGAGATGCTTTGTCTGTATTTCACACATTCGGTTACATATGTTGCGTAATACTACCATAAATTATGAAAATCTATCATTCTATATAAATACTTACAAAATTTTACCATTTTTAATTAGTACTAACTTAATATTAATGCATTTAGAAACTAATTATTTTCTCGTGAACTCTTATAAAATTAAGTAATAAAAGTTACTAAATAAAACAATATGAATATTACTTTATTCACTTATTCTTTTTACAATGAAATGTTCTAGTAAATATATATTTCAATAAAATCAAGTAATAATAAATAACGGCATAAATAATTAAAATTATTTAAAAGATTTCGCATAAAGTTTAAGTATCACAACTATAAGTGGATTTAATAAAATTTTCATTTTAGGACAATATTCTGTTGAAAAATTATATCAGAAACTTATATTTTAGTGACTTGGATTAAAGTCCTAATCAATAATACTATTGGAATTTGTGCTAATTTGAGTTATTATTATCTATGATGTTGCCATTGCTCCCAATACTGCGTAGTTTGCATTTCTGATAACCGTGATACGGTTCTATCAAAAGCAAAAAGTTCTTCTTCACCAGTAAAAAGATTAGATTTATGATCGTCCTACAAATCAGATCACATCATAGCATGATGCATTAATATTTGAAGAAGACAATCAAAATCATTTAACTTACAGAACCGTGAGATATTTTTAAATCATCCATAAGCATTCTTTTGTCATCCGAATAATCACTATCACCCTCTGGTACAAAGAGTTTTGTATGGGGTACAGTTGCTGATATAACAACTCTTACCTAAAAAGAAAAATTTATTTGTAAAAGAAACTAAATGCATTTACTGATAAGATAATCTTACCTTATTGTCATATAGTGTGTCGATTAATGTAATAAATCTTCTAGTTTGGGACTTAAGTCGAAAGTCTAGTTGTGGTACATCTCGTATAATAACTGTATGAAATACTTGACTCAATTCTATATAATCGCTGGCACCAATGGGCTACACACAAATAAACAATGTCCAATAATTTAATATTATATGTATATAATATTAAATAGCAACAAAAGAACAGAAGAACCTACCCTATTACAAAGCTCGTCAAAAGTTGAGTCTAGTACTTGACCACACGTTTTGTTAAAAGTAACGTTATGTCCTCTTATAGAAAAAGTGCGGGACCTTACAATATCATTTTCTTTCGAACATAAATATTTAAAGATTTTGTCTACATCGTTTACTGCGTCTTTTCCCTTTCTACAACAATTATTTAATATATATATTTTGTATGAATATTCTATTATATATTTTATCTATACCCAAATGAACATACATAAAATAAATTTTTTCGTCACTGAGTCCAGTTTGTAATCTGTAATCTATACCCGAATCTAATGAATTTACGATACAAAAATTTTTTAATATCTGTATAAATGGAAGAAAATTTCCTCTTTGTAATCCATTCTTATACAAATCATCTGGTGCTCTATTACTGGTTGCAATTACAATTACACCATTGTTGAATAGCTCAGTGAACAATCTTTTCAATATCATTGCATCTGCAATATCAGTTACCTATAGCACAACAGTTTTATTAATATTCACTATTGTAAATATTTTTTGTAAAATTATTTATTCCATAGTTGAACCTGAAATTCATCGAAACAGAGTAGCCATGCTTCTTCCGTAATGCTTTTAGCAACCGGTGGTATAGGATCGAATGGTTGAAGTTTTGTACTGCTAACGTCACGTACAAAAGTTTTCTTCACCTCGTGTACTTTAATATGTACATTAGCCATGAAAGAATGAAAATGTACTCTTTGCTTATTTTCTATCTGAAACAGTACATTTAAAAATACCTATATGGCCTTTTTTGGATTAGGAAAATTATTTTATATTGTAGTGCATATGGAAAGCCACTGTATAAATAGTACCTTTCTCATAGATCAAGAGTTTTCTTTATAACATTCCATCTGATATATAAAGTAAACCCTTTGCTTCATCAGTTATTCTACTATTTGTCTGAACAACTCTGAAAAATATTATGAATTGTTGTACTAGTTATCTAACGACTACAAAAAGGTAAAACAAGGCTCCCCATGTGCATTACTCACTAGTCATAAAAAATAAGATACCTGACAACAATCATAGAAAAGATCCATCAACATTGTTTTACCTCCACCTACAGCCCCATAAAGGTACAATCCTTTAGGAGGTGCTTTCTTCTTCTTACCAAGCCATTTGTCCACCAGACTAAATTCTTCCGGTCTATACCCATTGATTTCTTTGTAAATACCTTGCAAAGTTTCGGCAACTTTCATCTGATGAACGTCCTTCATTAATTCACCGCTGGCTATTTTCTTTTGTAAAGCACCAATTGGTCCTTCCTTGTCTAACAGAACATCGTGAGCATATCCATGATTTTGTACATAAACTACGGGTTGAAATCGCATTAGGAATGTCGAAAAATTGCATTTTCTCGGAAATTTTTTTGGGAATAGGCACGTCATTCTAAAATAAAACGTCCTGAAAGAAAAAGGTCATGATTTGTCACTTATACACGTGTTACTAATTGTCCAACCAAGAAAATACACACTCTGTTGCAGGAAAATATTCTCCTATTCGGCAAATACACTTTTAATTTAAAATATATAAATCAGATCGATTACACGTGATTGAATGTTCAAATAAATATGACTTTAGATGCTGACATATTCAATGGAATATCACGTTTGACAAATGACCAGGTAACGCGTGTTAACCTTTATATTACGTACGAAAATCCAATATATGTATGTATCTACCTCAGAATAGAACACACACACCAGGAAGTTTAGAAAGGTAAGTGTAAAGCATAATGTTCAGATATCATTATTCGAATATTTAAGGGACATGTATAAATATATATAATGTGTAGAAAATTTCGTCGTATCATTTATATTATTGGATCATAACTTATTCGTTTAAAAGATTGCGACATCAACGGATATATATTTCGAACGCAGTAGTAAGCAGTTTTTGAAATTCTTAACTATCGCGCGCTTTGGTATGACGTAACAAAAAAAGATTGTTGGAGAACCATCTTTCTTATGCCATGCACTTGCTGAGCACAATCTGCTTCAAAAAATCTAAAGAGTCGTTAAAGGTGCTATTATTTTTTATTTTCCAAATCGTAACATCATTTATTAAGCTTCCCTGAATCAATATATGGAATAATAATTTTGAATATTATTGTTTTTAATCAATATTCCATTTTTTATATGTACGGATGATCAACAGAGAAAAGACTAATGGTGCCATCTACGGCAACACGCTCAAGCTACTAATTAAATAATACATGGTTTTTATTTCTAGATGGTGCTAATGTACTCTTATATTAACCACAATGCGTACAGTAGTTCTCTATTTTATCTTTTCTTTATTAAATTTTTCAAATATGCAACTGTTTTTACTTCATTATTTATAAAGAGTGGCAGCACCGATTAATATTGCAGAAAATTAGATGGTTTTACAAGTATTTAATCGTTGTGATAAATTTTGGTACTATATTGAGGAGTATATAATGGTAATCTTCTTTTGTCATGACTAATTCCTTCTTTCGACGAATAATAACGTCTTTCAACAACTTTATCGAAAAATCGGCTTAATTTTACAGATGAACTAGAACCAGCAGCTAACGACTTTACTTGACGACAATCCTGTGAAGTAAAATAGCATCATTAGCATTTAACCACCTTATTAAGTAAGAATATAATTGATGTACCAAAAATATTTCATCTGCACCACATTCTTCTGCAATAGTTGAGGAACGTCTATGGACATTTGATCTTACTTCTGCAACCAAGTCTAGTTTGGTACCAATAACCAGGATTGGTATCTGTAAAAATATATATTATATTTAATGACATTTTAAATCATTATATATGACATTAAAATGTTTCTATTGCCTGAGTAGATCCCACAAATTTTTCAGGATCAAAGTCATCAAATGGTTTTGATTTCATATAACTGCCGTCCTTACATAAAACTTGTTCAAGCCACTTTTGGAGATTTTGTTGTGACTTTCTGTTAGTTAAATCATGGACCAATATTATACCTGCATTATTGGTAATAATATTTAATTAATAAATCCCTAAACTACATGTATAGAATACTTCAAACTGTTTGAATTATTACCATTTGTGGAATTATAAAAAACGGATCTTGTATTTTTATGGTTTTGACTGCCTCCAATGTCCCATAATTCAACAAAATATCTCCTCTGATTAGGGGTTCCTTCCTTATATTCATGTAATTTAACTTCTACTGAACAGCCTATTGTCCATGAAGGATTACAAATAGGCTGTTGCTGACATATTAAGTGTGTCAGTGACGTTTTTCCAACACCTAAAATAAAAATATGGAAGAATGCTTTACTTAAAAGTTTGTAAATAAATGTAACAATCTTGCTACTTATAAACTTTATTAAAAAACTTAGCATATGACAAAAAAACAGAGGATAGTATCTGACTTAATGTAGAAGATAAATTGAATAGAAAATTTTTTAAAGTAACGTTATAATGTTATTGTAAGGATTATAATGTTATTATTGTAATTGTTGCAGTATCATTGACAGTGCTAATAAATATATCAAGAACAATAGAATTATTTGGAATATATTCTTACCAGAATCACCAACAACAACAATTTTAACTTTATCTATCGCTGCCATTAATAATCTTCATTAAATCGTACTTGAAGATGTATTTGTTCTACCGTTTTACTGTTTGGCAGGTAATCATCTGAGAATTTTGTGTCACGAGTACATAACCTTACAAATAATAGCAGTACATAATAAACAAGCGTCAGTCCGAACAGTATTTTATCGTTCACAAACGATTGATAAAATTATGAATTCTGCGCCTTTATTTTTTAGTGTTTTTGCGAGAACTCATGTTTAGTATTATGATGTATATTTTAATATATGTACTTTTATTAATACTTGTTTAAAATATTTTCTGATAAAGATATTATTTATAAGATCTTGAAGGTTAGTATTCCAAATTATAGATTATATTATTTGTAATTCCATAATACGAAGTCTGTTTCAAGTTTTATTATTAAATAATATTGAAGTGTTTGAACTCTGTTTACAATTTTTAGCAATTCCAATAATATTTCATTGTATGTAACAACAAGAAAAATGAGTGGCGAAGAACGACTTGTTACAGAAGTTCCAAGTAGTTTGAAACAATTAGCACGTTTGGTAGTACGTGGATTTTATACAATAGAGGATGCATTAATTGTTGATATGTTAGTTAGAAATCCTTGTAAGTATATAATCCAATTTAATGTACTAAATTTATAATATATAGAAGATCATATTTTAATTAGTACAATTGTAAGTAGTAAAATTGTACACTTCATACATACAGGTATGAAAGAAGATGACATTTGTGAACTTCTGAAATTCGAACGTAAAATGTTAAGAGCTAGAATATCCACATTACGAAACGATAAATTCATACAAGTGAGATTAAAAATGGAAACAGGTTCAGATGGAAAAGCACAGAAAGTGAACTATTATTTTATAAATTATAAGGTAAGTTTTAAACAAAATATATTATCATTATTATTTATTTAATAAAAAAATTACTGTATACATTACTATATACATGTATCTGTTTAGACTTTTGTAAATGTGGTTAAATATAAGCTAGACTTAATGAGGAAGAGAATGGAAACAGAGGAAAGAGATGCTACAAGCAGGGCAAGTTTTAAATGTACAAGTTGTTTAAAAACATTTACCGACCTCGAGGTAAATACGTTATGCTTGAATCCTACATTGTTACAATGAACAGGGAATACTTATTAATGTAATATAATGTAGGCAGATCAATTGTTTGATATGACCAGTGGTGAATTTAGATGCACTTATTGTCGTGAGGTAGTGGAGGAAGATCAATCTGCACTTCCAAAAAAAGATTCAAGGCTTTTGTTGGCCAAGTTTAACGAACAGTTAGAGCCACTTTATATTTTACTACGAGAAGTGGAAGGTATCAAATTGGCTCCTGAAATATTAGAACCAGAACCAGTTGACATAAACACCATTAAGGGGTATATATATATTTTGAATTAATTATTATATGTAGAATATTTTATTAAAACATTTACATTTTTTTTTAGTATCGACACAAGGAAACCAAGTAGTCTAAGAGCACCAGGTGAACAATGGTCTGGTGAAGCTACAAGGTCGTCAGGCTTCATGGTAGAAGATACTAGAGTAGATGTTACTATCGGTGATGAATCCGCCGATGATAACGCGGCAAATAGAAGGAAGGAAAGACCAATTTGGATGATGGAAAGTACAGTTATCAATTCTGATTCACAGGTATACTTCATATTAATTATTTTTGTAGACTTCGTCTTTTATTAGACTTTATTATTAATAATATGTATCTTTAGCCGGATGGAGTTAACACACAAGAGAATATATTAGATAAAGCTGCAGCCACTGCCACTAATACAACCATAATAAATAATAAGCAGGGTGAAGATATTATGTCTGTGTTGTTGGCTCATGAGAAAAAGGGAGGAACGAACGCTGCAGCTGCTATAAAATCTGTACTACCTCAAGAATCTAGTGATAGCAGTGACAACGAAGAAGTCGCTGAGATGCAAACGATCGATACAGGTATGTAAACATATTTTAAATATTCTTATAGATTGATGTTCATCATGGAAATTGCCTACACTTCAATCTTTGTTTAGGAGAAGTGGAAACAATGGATTCCGAAGATGATGATCTTGTACCAACAGTAACAGTTGCAGGAAAAACCGTTGCAATCGCAGATGTGAACGACACATTGATTGCAGAAATGAGTCCAGTAGAAAAGGAAGCATACATTCAAGCATATCAAGAATATTATTCTCATATGTATGACTAGACAGGATACAGTCAGCATTGTTAGATATTTAACGATGCTATTTAAGACTGAATGGTTACTAAGATCCTTGTAATATTTTGTATAGTCATCAAATATATAATTTTTTGGGATTGGTAAGAGTTGACATTCTTTTAACTTCTGGAACAATCGGGAATTGGAATTAACAATAAGTTCGTAAGTAAAAGAAATGAGATTCAAACATCCGCATTTTGCAGTATTTATATTTTTCTTCTAACATATAGATTATAACTCAATAATGTCATCAATTTGTAATAAATAAACATTTACAGACACGTTATAATCACAATTAATCAAAATTAATAGCATACACGTCACTTCTGGTAAGGCGGGAAAGTTTAAACTTAGCCGAATATAAAGTATTCATTAAGCTTACTTTGAATTATTTTTTTTGTTTGTCTTTATGAAAATTTCTTGCCGACCACCACCATCGGATAGAAATTTTAAGACGGTACACGTTTTTTTGTATCGTACTTTTCGCTTTTTTTTGTACTTTTTTGTCACATTTTTTCTCACATTAACATTTATTTACTTCCGCATGACGCCGTACACAAGTTATCGATACAATAATCATTTTACCTTCTGTACCTTTTTATTTTTTCATTAATACGTCGGTGTAACTTACATCAAAAGAATCTTAGAGTCGACTGTTCTATTTATATACATTATAGTGTACTTTCTACTATTTAATACAATTCTATTTGATCCTGAATTAAATGTACTACAATCTATTCTCGAATCTAAGATTCTTTTGATGTAAATAATTGCCTTTTCGAAGGTAATTTATTCTGGTTCGTTCAGACGCAGGCGAGCAAAGTCTTCGAACACGATATTATCGTCATCGTCGTTAGAGTAACAAGAATTATCAAAGCGTATTCTATCCACGGTTTTGTTCTTCTTCAATATAGCCTTTTCTCTTTCTGCAGCTCCTGAGAAGTAAGAAAATATATTACACGTTTAGAATATAAACTCAGCAATTAATTCTAGTAATAATATTATCAATTTGTTTACCTGGAGCTGGATGCATTAACTTGAGTGGTACATCTGTAACCAGTTCACCACCCAAGGTACCGCAGTTCAATTTCACTCTCACAGAGTAAGAGATGACAATACCCATAGCCTCATTTGGAGCTTTACCCTCAGCAACCAGAGTAGAAGATGCAAGATTCACATCATCCTCCTGAATAGAATGTAAATGAAATATATTAAAACCAGTGCAAAGGATCATAAATATCTCCTTAATAATGTGTCTTTGTTTTTACTTTTAGATGTCCATCAAGCGCAATGCCGCGTCGATCTTTATTGCTGCTGGCTAATGGTACAAGATAAAACTGTTTTGTGAAAGCTGCACCCGGTGTAATGGGGCACCCTTCGCGTGTTTCCAAGCTCGCTATGTGTCGGGAGAATTGGGTATTGACCATTGTGACTTTGCAATGCTGAACTACAAACAACTGGAAAATACCAATCATTAATACATGATAGAGAATACAGTTTGAATTGTACCACTTATGGATTATATACCTTGATATTCTTCACTGCTTTTCGAGAATTATTGGTAACTATAACGTTCGCTGCTACTTTTTCTCCATGGTAGTAAATTTCCCTGTCTAGCGTGACTTCGAGACTCAATTTGCCCTGAGAGAAAGTAAATCCTTTAGAAACCAAGGAGCTGGGTATTTTACGTCCTCTTGTCGGTGGAGCATACTGCAATTTCTTTATTGCTAGTGATACAGATGATCGTTTGTGTCCCTGTGCAAGCAATTTCAGTTAAATACCGTGTATGTTTTATAATGCAAATAAATAGGAGGTAAAATTTTAATAGATTGACTACCCTATCTTCTTCGTGTTCGCCGACGTATATTTTGATGGTATATTCTACTCCCAATGGTTTCCCCTGATCGTCATCACCAGGCTGTAGTGTGACAGAGCTGGGGGAGTTAACTGGGAATTGGAACAAGAAAGGATATGCGTTTTGCCCGAGCCTTTTCAGGAGACGCTCTTGTACAGGTGTCATGTCCTGTTTTTCCTTCTTAATTGGCACTATTTGCTCACGACTTAAAACGAGTTCCTTGCTGAATTTGACACCCATAACTTCATCTTCTTCGCGGCCATAGCGGAAAGTTGTTGTCACCTAAGTAATGTATTTTTGAAATAGATAACTTTGAGTATTAATTCTTATACAAGGACGATTTTATATTTACCTGTCCATAAACCTTTCGTCCCTGAAGATAATCGGTGTCAACGACGACGATGCCATCGATGGGATCTACACTGTCCAGGTGATCAATGAAGTCTCTTTTGCCAAGGTAAACCGTAACTTTTCCTACAATTAATATAAATTATGTGTTTAACATTAAGTATACTCTACATTTTTCAATACTACAATATCTCCAGCACTGTATTCTATTGCTTACCATTTGGAGTAGTTTTCTTGAATACCTTGATGGCTACAACGTAAGCCAAAAACAGGAGGGGAAACATTTGGCACAATTTTTTTAATCAAATGAAATAACACAAGTTTGTTTCCCGCCCAGAAGTGACAGTCTCCTAGCATGAACAGCGGACTTCATATAGTCTCCAAAGGGCTTCTTGAAGCCATACTACTAATAACATTATTTTATTACCAGAGTTAGATAATAAGATTAGAATACAGATCTAAGTGGTTTGTTACGTGCATCGAAGAGCTGATTCAGTAGCTCGTGCAACGTTCAACCAGGAAAGTGACAAAATTTAAGAGTTGTGCAAAATTTTGTTTGCCTCTTGGTTTAGTGCACAGACCATCATTTTGTGAATATTCATAAAAACTAAAGTACTTGAATTATTGAATACTAAAACCATTGCAATTCGTAACTCTGACAAATTACTTTGTTTACTTATATGTGTATCTATAAACGTTCAGATATCAAAATAAAGAAGTACGCATAATCAGTCTTAGACTTATATTTATTTCGATAATAAGTGCTTACATAATATAATATGGAGGTATTTTAATTGAAATCAAAATCCCCTGAATGACTGAGGAATCACTTCGGTGTATTTTTCACAAATTTTTCTTAATGGTAAACAATATCTATTGTTTCTCAAGTAGGTATTACTTATCGTTAATAACTAAAGCCACTTGTATTTCTTTCTTCTTTCACATTCAGTAGTCAATAAACACTTGGTATATTATTTACACACTATTGTGCAAACACTATTTAGTAATGTGTTCCCAAAATCGTTCTGGTAACTGAAAGACACCATTTTTTTGTGAATGAACAAGGCAATTGTTAATGCCCTTCTTCAAAATGTGTTTTTATAATTGGAGAAACAATCGATTTTCGAATATACGTCTCTTAAATAGTAATAAAATGAATTTGCAATATGCAGACAGCTTTTCAGATTAATGTT